GTGTCTGACTGCTTTCATTCACCTTTAACCCAACGTTTGAACAGCCCACATCAGGGCTGGACCCCGGTGCAGTGGGTTAAGTCCCTGAGATGCTGCCTGCCATGAGGAAGCCCTGGTTGGAGTCACAGCTGCTCTCCTTCTGACCCAGCTCCCTGCTAGTGTGCCTGGGAAGGCAGCAAATGATGGCTCAAGTGCCTGGGCTCCCACCCCCCTAGATGGGAGACTGGGATAAAATTCCTGGCTGCTGGCTTCAGCCTGGCTCAGCCTTGGCTGTAGAGGCTATTTGAGGAATGAGCCAGAGGGTGAACAATCGATCTCTCTCTCTCCATCCTCCTCTTCCCCATCGCTCTGCCTTCCAAATAAATCAGTCCCTAAAAACTTCATCCACGTTACCCGTATCACACTTTCAGTTCTCCTTCCCTGCAGGAGATGTGTGGGTTGTTTCCGGTTTCCATTGCTAAGAATAGTGCTGTTGGGAACACTTGAGTCTGCTTCCTGGTGCAGATAGCCCAGTAGACTCCTTTCTGGGAGAATTCTTCTAGGGGGTCTTGGCAGAGGCTTCACAGAGGCTGGTGAGAGCCAGGGCTGTCAACAGACCACAGCTCACTCCTGCCAGCGCCTCCCTCCACACGGAGACACTCTTCCCTTGCGTCTTCACATGTCTTCTTACACACTTGTCATACTGAAATAAGGGCCCACCCTATTCTAGTATGACCTCATCTCTTTTTTTCAAGGATTATTTTATTATTTGAAATGCAGGGTGACAGAGTGAGAGAGAGATATCTTCCATCCACTGCTTTACTCCCCAAATGGCCAGAATGGTAGGGGCTGGGTCAAGCCAAAGCCAGGAGCCAGGAGCTCCGTCTAAATCTAACACATGCATGGCAAGCACTTGGGCCATCTTCTGCTGCCTCCCCAAGCACATTAGCAGGGAGCTGGATTAGAAGTAGAGCGGCCGGGATTTGAACCAGTGCTCAGATGAGATGCCCCACAACCTCATCCTAATTAATTATAACTGCAACCTTCCTATTTCTGAATGAAGTCACATTCTGAGCTACTGGCATTTAGGACTTCAAAGTATCTTTTTGTAAGACACCATTCCACCCAAAATAACGACTAAGATATACGGTCATCAAGAGGGATTGCCTTAGCAGATCCGAGAAAGGCTGTGGGACGTTAGTTGGTGCAGCAGCGTCGGAGCACATGTGAGGGTGATGACGGCCTGAGTATTTTAACCTCTATTCCAGGCCCCGTGCCCACGGAGAGAAGAATTCAAAGTGCAGGCCCCCATATATATAGACACACACATAAGTGCGGACTGCCCACACGGAGACACTCACCACGAGAGGGCCGGGGGGTTCCCCACGAACACGAGAAAGAGTGGTCTCTGCAAGCATGGGCTGTGGCGAAGACCTCCCCCCTTCTCAGCCTCTTTGGTGCAGTAGGGGGTGGTACCCTTAATGGGATAAACAAATGGGGGTGGAGTCTTAGCAGGCATCCTGGGAAGGGGGGGTGGAGCCAGCCCACAATTAAACACATAAAGGTTTGCATTGCAGAATTCCAGCCCACCTGACGAGTGAGGAAGGGGCGGTATCTCTCTCGGGCGTGCCTCAGGTGCCTCATCTGCCTATCACTGCCCCAATTCATGAGATAAAAATGTGCCAAGGAAGGGCACAAGGTTTCCAGCTTCCTCCTGGGTAACTGGGGCTCCATATCCCAATGGAAGCCTGTGGGGTGCGCCTCACAGTGTCCCTCAGAAGGAAGGGGAAGCTGGGCTCAGGCTGGCCCTGGGGGCAACCCGTCCCCAGCCCCTGCCGGCTGCTCTGATCCTGGGCTGGGCAAGCTTCCGCAGCACTGCAGAGCAGAAGAGAACGAGCAGGTGCCTGAGGAGGGGCGGTGTCTGCCGGCGTGCCAGCTGTTGTCCGCGGTGGCTTCAGGTGGAATCTGGCTGAAGGGGCACGGATTGGGGGATCAACAGAGTCTGCTACAGCCCATCCCTGCCCTCACTCAGTTGTTTCGTTCCCCGTGGAGAGTTCACTCTGTAACTGGGCCTTCAAGGTCACAATCACTTAGAAAAGGTTCAGACTGCGAGAACTGGTGAAACAGGCTGCCGCCTCCACGCTACAGCTGAGCCCAAGGCTGGAAGCAATACTCATCGCTGCTTTCAAATCCTCGATTCTAAATATTCCCCCTCCTCAGCCAGCACGTCCACAGGGTTAGCCTGCCTGCTCAGAGGGGTGGCTCAGCCCTAGATTCCTGAAGCGCACCTTACCCTTGTTGGGTTGTGGAAGCCACAAATAACCATGAACTTAACACCTAGCGTGGACGTGCCAAGGCTTCGAGTGCTCCAAGTTCCAGGCATGCTCCCAGCACCGTGTGCACGTTAACGCTGCCCACAGGCAGAGTAGCCCCTTTCCTAGCCTGATGGGCCTCCAGGGCCAGCAGTTCCAAGCGATCAGGTAGCAGCTGCAGTTTTAAGTTCGCTGGTGGCAAAGCTTTCCCTCCTCCCGCCTCTCCTTCTCTGCCACACACACCCCAGGGACAAGCACCTCTTGCAGAGCCTGGGGCTGTAGGGAAGAGAAGCAAGGAAGTGCCCAGGTGTGCTGGCGAGGGGCCACTCCCACTCCTCAGTATTCCAGCTGTGGGGCACTGAGCAATCAATGGCCTGTTTCTGGGGAGCAGTGGTCCCACGCAGAAGATCTGTCCCAACCCAGTGCTTCAGCTGAGCCGCCAAGCGGATAATTCAACCTCCAGCTTTATAGAAGGAACCGGTAGATCCCATTATCCTGAGTCCTTTGTCAACTTCCCTTTGGTCTTCAGAATTCCATGGAGTAACGCAAGTACATTGGGTTTACCTGAAGACTATGCATTCTATTCACTTGACCTATTTGTCAATTCTTGCACTATCTCAATTCATGACTTAATAAAGATTCGTGCTTCTTGTTCTCCTTTATTGGCTATGCCCCACCCTTTCTATTCTATCAATTTTAGAATCATTCTTTCAATTCCATAGATGCTAAGTTGGGATTTTGAGTGGGACTGCAACAAATCTGGAGTCCATCCTGGAGGAACTGACTTTGTCACATCATTAAGTCTTTCCATGTATGTTTGTCCCCACCATTTATTTGTGTTTTAATTTCTTTCAACAATGTTTTAGATTTCTACTGAGTTCCTGCGGATCTTACGCTGATTTGATTCCTAGGTATTTGATAATTTTGTGCTTAAATTGGTATTCTACATTTTTGAAAAACTTTGGCTATACATTTGAGAGGATTTTAAAAAACTCATGGAAAATGGAATTAAGAGTATGAGTTCATTTTGTTGCAAAATTTATTTTTTCACAATACATGGAAAATATGTATTATGAAAAAATGCATGGATTCCAATATCTTGTACCAAAATAATCTCTCATTAACTTTTAAAAAATGTTTCATCTATTTGAAAGAGAGAGCCTTGGAATTCAGGACACTGAGTTGCCAAATAATTGTCCTGCCTACTCTTTACTTTATGGACAGGCATTGAAAACCACCCATGCTACATGAACTTGGGTTCCGTCTCCCCCTGGTTAGGTCACTGTTACACATTACAATGAGCTGCAGTTTCCAGTCCAGTGCAGCAGGGGCAGCTGTGTGGGACGAATCTCACTGTGACCCCGCTAAGATGGGATGTCAGCTCCCATTGCCTTTCTCTGCTGTGGATGTCAGCTGCCATGAGGAAGGGGCGCCCTCCGATCAGGGGGTGCCCTGGCAAGCCAGGGTTTGGATCTGGAAGATGGAGCTGCAACTCCAACTTCTCACCTTCCTTGACGTCTTTCTCTGAGCTGTTTTTTTGTTCCCCCTTGTACAGTGAGAGTAAGAACACATCCCAAGAGCATCGTGCAGGTTATACTGCAGCACGTGGAGACGGACTTGGCCATAATTAGGTATTCAGAACATTACAACAGAATCTTTCTCATGCTAAGCGGTATTGGGCATGGAGGTTGCTTGCTCCTCAAAGTGTGGCTGGGGACCAGGGCACGGCATGGCCTAGGAGCTGCTCAGAAAGACGCTCACTCTCCAGGGCCAGCTGGGCCTCCGGAATCAGCGTCTGCTTTTCCAAAGTTTGGGAAGACTGGAATTGTGCTTGCAGAGGAGATGTGTTTCCTGCATCTGGAGCAGAGCGACCTCCCAGGGCTTTAGCACAGAGGAGGCCAACCACCAATCTGAATAAATAAGCATCGATTTTATTGAATCATGAATAATTTAAGATGGGTACAATCATCAGCTTTATTCTCTAGGACGTGGAGCCTGATCTCCAGCGGATCATTGGCAAATCCAAAAACCCTCATGACAAATGAAAATTAAATAGGGAGGGAGGGAGGCGGGGAATAAGGAAGGAAACAAGACCGTACACAAAATACTGGATTCCTAGTTTTCTCTTTAAAAATGGCTAGAAAAAATTCATCAAAATGCAGCACTTTAATTATTTACAATTTCTATGTTACAATGAAAAAATGTACATCTTATAGAACATATTTCATAAACTGCTCCACTGGGAACAACCAGGTCAAAACAGCAAACCTTCCACTCAGTATCCACAAAGTTGGATTATTTTTCCTTTTGAAGTAGATTCGCCACAGATTGAAATACACAGAATTCTGAAGTGTAAGCATCAAACAATACAATGTCCCCAAGGTACAACGAAAGTCGAGACAGGTCACGTTCCTTGTCCCACTCCCACCCCGCCCCCCCCACCTCCCCACCTTAATAAAAAGGCATTCCCATTTCAGTTATGGCCCATAGAAGTCTTGGCAGTTTGGGAAGAAAACTTTTGGCTTCCATTGGTAGCTCAACATAAATGTTGCATAGAATTTCAGACAGAGGAAGGAGAGAAGAAAAAAAAAAAGTCTGTAAAATCAACGAGTCAGAAACGGAGAGACTCAAGTTCAAAGCCACTTTGTCAAAGGTGAGTGACAAACTGAACTAAAAAGATGACCCACGTGAGACATGTGCACGTTAGATCATCGCGACATGATAGGGAAACACACATGCGGGTCTGCGTGGGCGGCAGCACCTGCCGCCCACATTCTCACTCCTCCACTCACTCTCACGGGGTAATCGGAGGCTCAGGGGCCTGCAAAGGGCTGAACTGGAACAGGCAAAATACCTCTCGAGCAAGGAGAGCACCATTTAAAAAAAAGTGAAAAATAAAAACAAAACAAAACAAAAAACAAAAAGCACGATTTCTCTTCTCCTAAGGGTTTCCTGCATCGCAGCTCTGTAGTACACTGAGCGAGACCAAAGCAAGCGCCCGGGTTAGCACCAGATCTCTCTGAGGCCGGCTGGGTGCAGCGCCGGCAGCGAGACCCCAGGGTCTGAAGTGAGAGGAGCCGTGCCGCCTCCATTTCCAACTTTGCCCCAGCCTCTCCCATCTCTGGGCAGCTCACGGCAGGGTGCGGTTCGATTTCAGAGCTTCGGGTGGGTTCTTTCCAGCTCAGCGGGGACGGCCCCTTCCCGAGTAGCATCCTCAGTGTCTTAGGGCGCTCACAGCAACAAGGCAAAATAATAACTGGAGGAGAACAGAAAGTAGTGCAGTCCTCGCTGTGGAAGCAAGCGGGCCCCAGGCGGCCGGCCCGCCCGGGACGCCTGCACGTGAGCGAGGCAGGAGGACGAGGGGTCCAGGGATCCTGCAGCTCCGAGGCTGCGGCTGGGGGGCTGGCTCAGGAAGTCATCTTCAGGATAACGTGGGGGATGCAGGTGGGGCAGGGCGAGGAGGAGAGGAGAGGAGACGGCAGGCTCCAGAGCCGAGCCCGTCACAGAGTGGACTCGAGGGACGAGTCCAGGATGTCGTCCTGATGGCTGTTGCTGTTGGAGTCGCTGTCGTAGCTCTGGGGGCTGGAGTAGTTGGCGGCCTCCTGCAGCCTCATCAGCATGTTCATCTGGGGGAAGAGCGGGGTAGCATGAGCGACCTTTGGCCCAATCACCCCCCACCCTGGCCTCCTGGGCGCTCACGCCACCTCCGGCACACTCACCCTGGGAGGCAGAGGGCAAGGGCACGGACACTGCGCCAAGCCGCCAGGGTTCAAAATCTCAGCTCCAACACTTAGCAGCTGCATGACTTTGGGCAAGCTGCTTAACCTCTTTGGACCTGTCCCGTTATGTTATGGTATGGATTGAGTCAAGACATCTAGAGCACTAAAAACTTAATCCAAAGACCTCTGAAATCAACTTTCTATCCTACCCAGGTGTGTGTACCCTGGGTAAAGACGCTGGTCCAGTGTCCCTGCACCTGTTACACGGGCATCAGTGTCACTGACAATGTCCCTGGTGAGCAGCCAGCCTCCCTGGGCACCTGGCTGTGGCCAGAAGTCAGTATGGAGGCAACCGGGTGCTCCAGCTCCTGGCAAAGCCTCCACAGGGAGGTCAGGTGGAGAAGCTGTCAGGGCTACAGAGAAGCCCGAAGGAGACTCAGCGATCTATTGGCACACGACTCCCGGATCTGAGCCACCAGTTCCTCACCTGCAGAATGGGAGAATGGGTGAAGTGGGGACGAAATGACACAGCACGTAGTAAACCCCCAGAAGCCTGGCTGGCCATCTGCTGGCGGAGCATCTAACTTGAAGGCATTAGAGACAGGGTTCTTCACTCTTCTCTGCTCATTTGTTTTGGCCTGGAAACTTAAAACTGCTTTTATTTTCTTTGTAACTATAAATTGTGTGCATCTGGCATTTCACATAGCAGGAAAGTTAGAACGTGGGATGACAAATTCTGCTGCCCTCGGGATGCTTTGTGGAGTCTGCCCAGGTGAGGCCGCAGTGGCCGGGTCTGCTGAAGTCCAACCCCACGACCACGCGCAGGTAAGTCGTGGCTTCGTTTTTCACTTAGCGAACAGTCCTGGCACACCGTGGAGGTGGTCCCCGAACCGAGGCAGGCTCCAGCCTCAGGGATTTCGCAGAAATACCAAACATGCGGCTGGGAAAGTGGGCGGAAACTGGACTGATACAGCTGCCTTTGGGGGGCCTGGGTTGCGAGGAGAGATCTGTGAACCCCAGCTCTTCCCTAAGCACCGTGGGAACTGAGTCAGTGAAGGAAATGTTCCCGGCTTGTGAAGGCTGTCCTGGTGGGCTAGCCGCTCTTTCCTCCAGTTATCCTGAACTCTATTCTCTGTAAATTAAGACCCCCCCCCCCATAGCCTGCCCATTACCAAAAATATCCCCAGAACCTTGGCCATGAGCAAGATTAACATTAGAAATGGCTTGTCGGCCAGCGCCGCGGCTCACTAGGCTAATCCTCCACCTGTGGTGCTGGCACCCCGGGTTCTAGTCCTGGTCTGGGTGCTGGATTCTGTCCCGATTGCTCCTCTTCCAGGCCAGCTCTCTGCTGTGGCCCGGGAGGGCAGTGGAGGATGGCCCAAGTGCTTGGGCCCTGCACCCCATGGAAGACCAGGAGGAAGCACCTGGCTCCTGGCTTAGGATTGGCGCAGTGCCCCGGCCACAGCAGCCATTTGGGGGGTGAACCAACAGAAGGAAGACCTTTCTCTCTGTCTCTCTCTCTCACTGTCTAACTCTGCCTCTCAAAAAAAGAAAGAAATGCCTCTGGAAAACCATGGTTGTAAACGCTGCAAACTGTTTTGCATGTAGCAGCACAAATAATGAATCCTGTTAGAACAGGGATGAGGAACATCCAGCCCGTGGGCTGTATGAGCCCTACAAAATAATTTGGGCAGGCCCTGTAGGCGGGATTTGAAATTCAATAAATTGGGGCTGGTGCTGTGGCATAGTGGATAAAGCTGTTGCCTGCAATGCTGGCACCCCTTATGGGCGCCAGTTCAAGTCCCGGCTGCTTCACTTCTGACCTAGCTCTCTGTTATGGCCTGGGAAAGCAGCAGAAGATAGCCCAAGTCCTTGGGTCCCTGCACCCACGTGGGAGACCTAGTAGAAGCTCCTGGCTTCTGGCTTCGGATCAGCACAGCTCCAGCCATTGCAGCCAGTTAGGGAGAGAACCAGTGGAGAGAAGACCTCTTTCTCTCTGCCTCTCCTCGTCTTGCTGTGTAACTCTGACTTTCAAATAAATAAGTCTAAAAAAAAGGCATATGAATTTTCACAGAGCAGAATTTGGAAATTTTAAAAAAATTCAATAAATCTACAGCAGGCTCATTTTTAAGTTGGTAATTTTGTACGGCCCCACAAATGACGCTATAAATATTGATGGTCCTTGGGAGAGAAGAGGAGAAAAGGCCCCCCCGCCCCGGTTTAGAGCATTGTTCCTGTTTAAATCTTCAGCAGGCCACACAGGCACCCACCAATCACCACAAAGGCAGAAACCTATTTTTTTTTTTTTTTTTTTTTTTTTTTTTTTTGACAGGCAGAGTGGACAGTGAGAGAGAGAGACAGAGAGAAAGGTCTTCCTTTGCCGTTGGTTCACCCTCCAATGGCCGCCGCTGCAGCCAGCGCACCGCGCTGATCCTGGCAGGAGCCAGGAGCCAGGTGCTTTTCCTGGTCTCCCATGGGGTGCAGGGCCCAAGCACCTGGGCCATCCTCCACTGCACTCCCTGGCCATAGCAGAGAGCTGGCCTGGAAGAGGGGCAACCGGGACAGAATCCGGCGCCCCAACCGGGACTAGAACCCGGTGTGCCGGCGCCGCAAGGTGGAGGATTAGCCTATTGAGCCACGGCGCCGGCTAAACCTATTATATTTTTATCAGGCAAATCAATGAGTCACTGGGAAGTTGTCTTTCACTCCCACTACATCTCTTACAAACATTTTCTTTCATTAGGTAATGCAAGTAACATTCCCTGTTGTGTTTTTCTTTATGCTACGGCTGCCAAGGAAGCTCGGGGCTAAATTTCAGGCATGAAAACAGTCACCGAATGCTGGGAGGTTTGGGTATATCTGCTTCCTCCTTCTTCGACAGGGCTTTTGCTTGGGTAGGAATTCAGCAGGATGACCATGCTGCTGATCAGAAGTGCTGTCAGTGGGGCCGGCATTGTGGTGCAGCAGGTTAGCCCCCGCCTGCGATGCTGGCATCCCCTGAGCGCCGGTTCAAGTCCTGGCTGTTCCACTTCTGATCCAGCTCCCTGCTCATGCACCTGGGAAGGCAGCGGCAGATGGTCCCAGGACTTTGGCTCCTGCATGAAGCTCCTGGCTCCTGGCTACAGCCTAGCCCAGCCTGGCTGTTGCAGCCATTTTGGGGAGTGAACCAGTAGATGGAAGGTCTTGATTTCTTGCTCTTTGTAACTCTGCCTTTCAAATAAAATGAATAAATTAAAAAAAAAAAAAAAGAAAAGGAGAAATGCCGTCATCACTGGCCCAAGTGTTCCTGAGAGGGCCTTTGCTGCTTTACCAATGGCAGAGAAAGATGCACGAGCAGCATCCAAGACTCCGCTCACTTCGCTGGCCGTGGGCCCTGGATTCAGGCCCCTGGGCCTCCGTGAGTTCCTCCTGCCCCCGAGCCTCTTCCTGCCTCTCTCCTGGGCTTCTGGACCTCGGTGACCTCTTCCTCCGCTCAGTTAGCAGTGCACGATATCAAAGGAACAGAACAGCACATGATACAGGATGCAGCCCAAATCAGAAGGCAAACGTGGTGAACAACGGGTACGGGAGCATTTTGGGGTGGGCAGAAGCAAGTTCCTCACTTCTTACCTTACGCCTTTAACTCAGATGAGTTAAAGGCTTTCAGCTACAGCTATGGAAGAACATGTTGGTGGATGGGGAGCTAATCTTGGGGAGGGCCCAGCCTTCCAAAGCAGACTTCGAGTTTCCAGAACACCCAGCGTCAGCCCGGGATCCAGGAAGTGCCCCGTGAACGCGGAGCTGAGGACTCACCAGCGGGTCTCCTTCGGCGTCGCTGGGGGGCACTTGTTTGCTTGCTGAGCCCTCCCGAGGCATGGAGTAGCCATCGAAGCCGACGTCCTCAGGCCGGAGCTGCAGCAGGGGAGGCCACTCGTGCTGCTGCGGGCTGGCAGCCCACGGGTACGTGTCCATCACCCACTTGGCGGGATCCTCCCAGGGAGTGCGCCTTCCATACAGCTGCGATCAGACAAAAGAAAAGGCACCGTGTGGAAATGAACAGAGCCCTCTCTTATGGCCCGATGCTGCAGCTTCCTGGAGCGGCCCCCACACCCAGCGCCATGCCTGCGCTTCCAGAACTCCTTCTAAGGAAGCCATCCTAGAGGCACGCAGCTCAAGCTGCTATGCACCTGTGGTTACAAGCTCAGGCTTTGGACTAAGGCCTACCTGGGCTCTCACCTGAGCCCTGCCACCCACTCACCTCTGAGCCTTGGTGGTCCAATTTGAAACACTGGCCCGGAGGGGGGAAAAACAACCAGCCAATTGGAGACATTTGCCAATTTCCATGGTGTAAACACTCCCACTGTAGCAGATTCCAAACTATAAATGTGCTGCCGCTGAATGAGGAGTTGGGAAAAGAGGCCAACTATTGGCTTCCAGTACCAGCTTCAGGGCCCCACGGGGTGCACCCACTGGAACAAACAGTGGGCTGGGCAGCAACACTGCTGGCAGAGGGCCCCAGCAGCCCTGCACAGGGCTCTCAGAGCCCCTTCGTGGGATCACTGGTCCCTTTCACACAGCAGATGGCTAAGGGAGGCTGCGTGTGGGCAGTGGAAGCACTTCTCCCCAGTGATGGACTTGACACTTGGCCATAACGACTAACTTGCTTTTGAAATATTAAGCTACATTGTCACTTCTAAAAATTTCATTCACTTTGATTTATGTGAAAGGCAAAGTGGGGAGGGGAGAGAGAAAGAGAGAGAGGAGAGAATATCTTCCATCTTTCCATCTGCTGGTTCACTCCCTTAAACGCTTGCAACAGCCAGGGCAGGGCCAGGCCAAAGTCAGGAGCCTGGAACTCCAGTTGGGTCCCCCATGTGGGTGGCAGCAACCCATGCACTCGAGCCATCATCTGCTGCCTCCCAGGGTGCATATCGGCTAGGACTTGAACACAGGCACTCCAACATGGAATACAGGTGTCCTAACTGCTGTACTCAAACGCCTGCCTCCACTATCACTGAGTTTTATAAGACCAACACCGTGCGGGACGGCGCTGTGGCACTGAGGCATCAGCATACCACATGGGTGCTGATTCTTGTCCCGGCTGCTCCACTTGCGATCCAGCTCTCTGCTATGGCCTGGGAAAGCAGTGGGAGGTAGCGCAAATGCTTGGGGCCCTGCACCTGCGTGGGAGATCTGGAAGAAGCTCCTGGCTTCAGATTGGCCCAGCTCCAGCTGTTGCAGCCATTTGGGGAACAAACCACTGGATGGAAGACCTCTCTCTCTGTAACTGTCTCAAATAAATAAACTAATCTTTAAAAAAAAAAAAGAAGACCAACACCACAGCTCCAAGGCTCCAAGCTCCTGCTCTGGAGCCTAAGTAGCTAGTGAAAAAACGATTTTAGTGGGTTTAGTGGCAAATCCAAGAAATCACGTATGTTCTTTAAAGAACAAACCCAGGGCGGACCGCTTCCCAAGGTGAAGCTGTGTGTTGGGTGGCGAGCTGTGGCCTTTGTAGCTTCCCTCTTGTCACAGCTGGCACGTCTTATAGCTCCCGGTGCAGCAGGCTCTGTGAGAAGCACCTGGCAGCCATCTCCAAGGGCAAGGGCTATTCCGCACATGTCGCCCATGCAGAGCCAGGCCCAGGGCAGGAAATCAAATCTGCGCAGCTCTGGGCGGACACGGAGGCCAGGCTGCATCCTCTGTGGCTCGGAGGAGCAGCCCCTCTGCGGGGCCCTCAGGGCACAGACTGTCGCCTCCAGGAAGCACCGCCGTGGCAGTAGGGCTCCAGGAGGAAACAGGTGGGCCATAGCCTGCCTGTCCACCATCTGTCAGTCTGTCTGCCCCTCTGCCCTCCCAGGAATCCTGCAGCTGAGTCAGGGGAGAGAGCAAGGTGCTGACGGCTGCGCAGAGCTGGGCTGTGAGCCAATGAAGCTGCGTCTTTGGGAGAGCTGGTTGAAGGAGCTGGGGCCACCCTGTCCCACCCCTTATTCCCTATGTGAGGAAATCAAGGTGGAAAGACAGAGCCAGCCGTGAACGGTACAAGAGCTGAGCTGGATGGAACAGAGACTCCCGCTTCCTCCTCTCCAGCCCTCCTGATCAACTCCACTTTGAACCACTCTGACTCTCCACAAGAGCCATGAGACCTCAGCCAGCCCTCGGCACCTCTGCTGAGCTCGCTGCCCCCTCTGTCGCGATCACCCGAGCCACTGAGGCACCCTTAGGTGTGCTTTGTCAGGGAAGCCACCCATGCCGCCCCCGTCCCAGACAGGTCCACCGCTCTGCCCAAGTGGCTGCCTCTGCCCCTACCCAGGACACCCAGGCTCCTGTAACCTCCCTCCTTTCCCAGACAGCTGCCAACCCCACCCCCCATCTAGTGCCCTGGCCCGTGCCCCTTAGCTAAGCTTTCCATAACCTGGGCTATCTGCCCTGCGCATCCCGCCAGGCATTCTACAGACTGAGCCAAAAGGGAGCATGGGCAGGGGCTCGAGCGAGCTGCAGGCAAACGCAGACGCAGCTGCTCCAGATGACAGACACCCCCACCCATTTCGGGAGCCTCTCCCTGCAAGGGCTTTCCTTCTGCAACTGGTTGTCTCTCCCAAGCCAGACTGCACACGTGTGAGGCCGAACCCGGCCCGTCTCCAACAGCTCCTGCTTCCGTGTCCACGCCCTCGCCTGGATGAGGCGGCGTGCAGGGACGCCGAGCCACCAGGGCCGGGACCCTAGCAGCGCATCAGGTCCTCAGAGAGCGCCTGGCCCGGCAGCTTGCTGACGCCTGCCCCTTATTTCTGACCCCCCATGCCCGCCGCGTGGTGGGAGGACTCTTTGGGTTTCCCAGAAGGCAGCCTGAAACCACACTCTTCCAGCCCCAGCTGTTCAGTGTGCAGATGGGGCAATCTGACCAACGGGTCCATGCCCACACCTCCACGGCTCCCGTTCCCTGCAGCCCCCAGGCCTGCCCTGCTCACGGAGCTCTTCTGAGCGACTCTGTAGACTTCCAACACTTGGGCAAGCATTCCTGATGACAACTGCAGGGGAGAACAGGCCCGGGGACTGAGTCATAAGATAAATGCACATGAGACGCACGCTAACATCATCCGCAAGAACAGAATGTCTTTTTACAAGCCTCCCTTCTGGCCACTGGGCACGTTCAGGTCCAGGTGATGAATGGCTAGGCAAGCACCATGGCAAGCAAAGGAGACAGCACAGAGCTCCTTGGCCGCACTGCAGATCCCCGAGGGCAGGAGCAGAGACAGGCAGGCAGGCAGGCAGGCAAGCACACAGCACATTCACTTTCTCAGGGCAGGGGAGGAGCCTGGCATCCCTAGGGTCAGGAAGAAAGGACAACACGGAGCCAAGACACTGGAAGCCAAAATCTGGGTCTCAGGCCTGGAGCCCTGCACACACGGAACCATCAACGCACACAGTCAGAAAGCACCTCCAAGCAGTACATACACTCATTCATTCATTCTCTGACTCATCCCACCAGGAAGACTCTGAAACCCAAACTGCAAAGCTACCTGATATCCACTAGGGGGCGATACCACATTGCCTCCAGGCAAGGATGTGCTGCTGGCACACAGGGGGCTGCCTGGAGGCTGAGGGTGAGGCCTGGTTCCAGCTGGGTCTCCCTCTGTCCCCATTTTGGTTCTACCACCATAAGCAGCTCCCCTTTCTGGTTCCCTGGCAGAACCACTCTAGGGACTCCATGAAAGGCTTGCTCGCTCTGAACTGTGGGATGCTCACCCCACAGCCACCTGCCTGAGGCAGGTGAGGAGCAAGTGAGCTGGTACAGTCCTGAGCACAGGGCAGGGCTCGTCACAGGGTGTGCAGAAATGGACTTCAAAGATAACGTTTATGTTGGTAGGAAAACAATTTGAAATCTATATATAATTTTTTTTGAATTTATTTGACAGGTAGAGTTATAGATAGTGAGAGAGAGACAGAGAGAAAGGTCTTCCTTCCATTGGTTCACCCCCCTCCAAATGGCCGCTAAGGCCAGAACCACGCCAATCCGCAGCCAGGAGCCAGGTGCTTCCTCCTGGTCTCCCACATGGGTGCAGGGCCCAAGGACCTGGGCCATCCTCCACTGCACTCCCAGGCCACAGCAGAGAGCTGGACTGGAAGAGGGGCAACCGGGACTAGAACCGGTGCCCATATGGGATGCTGGCGCCGCAGGCAGAGGATTAACCAAGTGAGCCACGGCACCGGCCACATAATTTTTTCGTAATACACACTTTCTGGGTGGAGTTACAGGGCCCTCTGGCAAGGCCTGGGCTACAGTGCTGACTCAATTGCCCCCTGCTCTATAAGATGCTCTATAAGATGCTCACTTGGGCCTAGTGCTGTGGCACAGTGGGCTAAACCTCTGCCTGCAGTGCCAGCATCCTATACGGGTGCCAGTTTGTGTCCCGGCTGTTCTACTTCTGATCTAGTTCTTTGCTCCTGGCTCCTCGCCTGGGGAAGCAGTGGAAGATGACTGAAGTTCTTGGGCCTCTGAACCCATGTGGGAGACCCAGAAGAAGCTCCTGGCTCCTGGCTCCTGGCTTCAGATTGGTACAGCTCCAGCCATTGTAGCTACTTGGGGAGTCAAACAGCGGATGGAAGACCTCTCTGTCTGTAACTCTGCCTCTCAAGTAAATAAGTAAAAGATGTTTACTGGGCTGCAGGAGCTATCCGTCAGGCCCCTGGACAGTGCCCGCCAAGCAGCAGACCCTCAGTAAACATCACCAGCTTTCCTTCTGCCACAAGATCGCAGCGAGAAAGGGCGGCTGGCTGCTGAGCCCCACAGTGGGGAGGGCTAACTCTGGCCACTGCCCTTTGCTGTGTCCGCACTCTTGAAAGATCGTCCTGCACGCCTCCTCACAACACAGGCAGCAAAGATTTCCCCGCCTCACGCGGGACTTGAGTCTCATTAAGACCGCAGCGCCCTCCGTCCCTGCCCAGCGGGCTGCTCCACAGCCCTGCCCACGTCCTTTCAACCTGTAGCCTCACTTGCTCTTGGTGGGAAGAGAGACCCAACCGATGCTCCTCTCTGGTAAATTCCATCAGCACCTCTCTCCTGGACGGGAAGGGAGCTGCTTGCAAGTTTACATGCAAGGGAGCAGGGCCTTGGCACTGCCAACCTCGGGCGAGCAACAAGAGCCTACAGGTGGGCAGCTCCAGGCTGGAGTCAGGGCAGCTCTTCCCTCCCAATTAGGGCTGCCGTGGGCAGGAGAGGCCTTTAGTCAGCAGAGCTCATGCCTTCTCCCAAGGGACTCTAAGGCCAGTCCCCTTCTCCCACCAGAGAGGTGTAGAACAGAGGAAGCTAGGATAAGACAGACACAAGGTAGCCACAGGGGCCAAGGATGCCCCCTTGCACCTGCTCCAACCTCTGCTCCTCCTGAGCAGCTCACGTCTCACCAGGGTGTGGGGCAGATTGCCGGGGGCCACCAAGTGAGGGCAGAGGGCAGAGGATTTCAAATGAGGCATGGCAAGAACCCAGGAGCTAAGGCGTGCTCCCATTGGTCTAGGAATACAGGAATGGCTGCGTGGCTGCTGGGGTTTGTGGTACTAAAAACGCAGCTGACTAAATTATGGTTCATTTCCCTGGACCAGTGACGTCATCTACCCAGGGAGATTCTGCCACAAAGATCTGAAGTCGTTCACACCCTCTGTGAATGTGGCATTTGACAAGAGCTTTGCTAACCCACGATTTGGTGCTGCCTTCTTTCTTCACTCGGCTCTCACAAGACATTCACCTACCACCCTGGCTTGAACATGCCCAGTTCCTTGACACACACAAAAGGCACACTACCTTCCTCTTCAAGGTCTTCTAAGGACAGTCTCTGAAGACCACCGCCATTGCTACAAGTTATGGATACCAGGCAGCTGAAGTCTTGCCAGGCTCAGCCAGATGTCCCGGAATGACAAGCAGCATGGTCACACACACGTGTGCAACAGTAACACTGCTCCTGAGGCCTCCAAGGTCCACAAATCAACAGCATCTGGGTCTCCCGCTCCCCAGTACTGAACAAACAAAGCACCCTGGGCAACTGTGCAGAAATGGTTCTGGGATCATTCAGCACCGTGCGCTGCCTGCTAATTGCTCTGTGTGCCTGTCGCAGGCACGTGGAACTTCTTAGGCTGTCTCCAGGCTCAACAGTAAAACTGTCCCAAGCTCCAGGTTAATACTAAGATGCTGTGGCATAGCAGGTAAAGCCGCCACCTGCAGTACTGGCTCCCACATGGGCATCGGTTCAAGTCCCGGCTACTCCACTTCTGATCCAGCTCTCTGCTATGGCCTGGGAAAGCAGCAGAAGATGGCCCCAAGCCCTTGGGCCCCTGCACCCATGTGGGAGAGCAAGAAGAAGCTGCTGGCTCCTGGCTTTGGATCAGCACAGCTCCAGCTGTTGCAGCCATCTGGGGAGTGAACCAGCAGATGGAAGACCTCTCTCTCCGCCTTTGCCTCTCTGTAACTCTGCCTATCAAATAAATAAACCAATCTTTCAAAAAAAAAAAAAAATACTAAGATGTTAGTGAAACTCTGTGCTGAGTGAGAAGTGAAGAATCTGTGCATTCTAGCTTCTGTAGGGCAGGAGGAGCTTGTAGCTTTATGGCCCGAGTCACCTGTAGGGGTCCCGATGCGAGGGAAAGAGGGCTACAAGGTGTGAGGGTTCAATACCGAGAGTGCCACCCGGAATGCATGGGTTCAAATTCCACATCCCTCAAGTTTCACTTTTCAGACCTTGGACAAGTCACTTAATTCTCTTTGAGTCATTGAAAAACAGAGACAATAGGCAGGCATGAAGCCTACGAATGTGGATGCTGGTTACGATGCCCATGACCCATACTGGAGGGCTTGGGTTCAGTTCCTGGCACCGGCTCCTGTCTTCAGCTTGCTGCTAATGCAGACTCTGAGAGGAGGCAAAGTCACTGGGTTCCAGCCGAGCGGGGGACCTAAATGGAGCTCTTGGCTCCTGCCTTTGGACTGCCCCAGTCCCAGCCATTGCGGGCAACTGGGGAATGAATCAACAGCTGGAAGCAAGCTAGTGAGAGTTCGTAAGCTTAGGGCCAGCACCGTGGCACGCCGGTTAAGCTGCCAACTGGGACTCTCACATGTCATACTGAGCTGCCAATTCAACTCCTGGCTGCTCTGCTTCCAATCCATATTCTTGCTAATTAACGCTGGGTGGCAGCAGATGATGGCTCAATGTACGTGGGTCCCTGCCACCCATGTGGGGGGCCTGGATGGAGTTCCCGGCTTTTGCCTGTCCCAGCCCTGGTTGTTGCGGGCATTTGGGGAGTGAACCAGTGGATGGAAGAGCTCTCTCTATGTCTCTCTATCTCTCCCTCCCTCTCTGTCACTCTGCCTTTCAGATAAAAAAATAAACAAATCTTTTTTTAAATAAAAGCTTATAAAAGAAAAATAGAGAACAAAAAAAATATTTCTGTCCAAGTCCCAGGACTACTGCAGGTTTTGAACCCAAGAGCAGATATGAAATTCCACACACACACACACACACACACACACACACACAGTTCCACCTCTGGTGCTTGTATACTGAGCACTGCACAGCCAGGATCTCATTTAATCCTGGCACCCTTGGGGGCAGAATCCCAGTATCACCCCCTGCTATCAATGAGGGCACTAGGGCACACAGAGACAACCTGACTTGCCTGGGGCTACACAGCTAACAGTGGCCAAGCCCAGCTTTGCAACTGAGCACTCCTGCGCTGCACCAGGGACTGACGGCCTCACCAGGGAGACGCTGTTGCCCACTCGGCACAGAAGGGACCCTCGGCTTTGCAGAGACCAGCAAGGCTGTGTGGCTCACCTGGAGTCCCTCTCGCACGGCTTCCAGGAGGTAGGGGATGATGGAGTAGTTCCACAGGTCGGTGAACCACACCCGTGAGCCGTCCACGTCGATGGGGCATGACAGGAAGAGCCTGGGCCCTGGGGAGCACAGTGGGGACACATGAGAGCGGAGACGGGGGCCTTTCGGGGGGGACCGTGCCCAAACAGCCCCTCTTGGGACGGACGCCAGCAGCTGGCTGCTGGATGTGCAGGGAGATGGCCCAATTCCCTTATTCCCTCTGGGTCCCTCTGTCCCTGGGGACATCAGTCCCAAGCCAGGAAACATGGCACACACGTGCTGCTCCCAGGAATTTGGCCCTTTAAGAATGGAAGGTCTGAAGGAGCAGCCAAGGTTAAGTCCCTGGGGTACGGCCCCCTCTGATTACCTGGGCGCCTTCCACAACAACAACTCTGAACACTCAAGAGACAGTGTGAAGTGAAAAGAAAGGAAAATGCTACGGGACTCCAGGATGGAAGTGCACACAGCACACTGATGGGCACGGACAGAGAAAGCAAGTATGTCGGCCAGGTAGGGCGCCGGACGATCTTCGGAGTCCCTCACCTTGAGAAATGCTGTTACAGCCACCAGTAGAGCCAAACCCGCCCCAAACCCTTGGGCAGGAGCTGTGCCCTGGGCGGGCAGTTCCTGCATCAGCCCAGGGCTGGGTGCTTCCCGCCCGTGCTGGTCACTGTGGCCGGCGCCCTCTCGGTCTGTGGTTTTCCCTCTGCCCCCTGCTGTGACCCCGAGGACGGGTCCAGCATCGTACAAGCTGTGGTCCTGGCCAGGGCGCAGGGGAAGCCAGGGCTCTGGGAGCGTGCCCTTGGCCCCTCCTGCCGCGTCGCCCACCTACCGATGGTGACGTCGGAGGAGCTGTGCGCCTCCAGGAAGCGGTTGAGGTGATGCCAGACCTTGGGGATCCAGTCGATGATCCTGACCAGCTCCACGTTCCGCACCCGCCCGCTGATCTCTGTCTCCATGAGCTTCCTCCTCAGAAACCGGCCCAGGAAACCTTTCACGGGCTCCGTGTGGTTGGCACAGAGCACCCACCTGGGGGAAGTCAGATGCTTTTCAGGATGGCGACAGTGAGCAAACAATGGTGCACTCCAGGACCCAATGCAGAAAGGGCCTGTGCTCACGGTAAGATGCCAACCACCGACATGGAGCTCCCTGTATACCAGACACCGGGACACAGCCCCTGTGTCTCAACTCTCAAGGCCTCGCCGCAACCCCATGACCACCACCTCCATTCTACAGCTGGAGATGCTGTAGGCTGAGTGAGGATCAAACAGCTGATGGCCGAGCTAAGACTTGAACCAGTGCAGCTCCGGACTCTGAGCCCTACCTACTGAGGGCAGACTCCTCTGGGGCTCCGTGTCAGGCTCTGGAGCTGTAACAATAGCTAAGACCAGTCTCCAGCCCCCAGAGGATGACAGTCTGGGGGAGGCCACACACGACAGACCCTAAGGGAATCTGGGAAGGCTCCCTGGGCTGAGACCAGGGGGTGATGGAGCAGCACCAGGAAGCAGGGCAGGTGTGGAAGTTGGGTGGGGGTGGGGAGCATGCTGCAGTCTCTACAGAGACTTGGGGAACTGTGGGATGTCTGAAGCAGCTGCCAGAGGTTCCAGGGTGGAACCCGAGGTTGGACGTGACCTATCAGCCCCAGCAGCCCAGCTTTCACGCTGGAGGTAACGGGGAGCTACTGCGGGACTCGTAAGCACAAGGGCTCTAGGCTCATATCTGCCACAGATTCTAGAGTGTTCTCTCCGGACAGCCTGCAGGGGTACAGCATTGGAAGATGACTGCAACCATGCACTGGGTGATGACGCGGCAGTGACGGGGTCGGGGTGTGAGGGGGACTCGAAGGACATTTAGGAGAAATCAGCCAGCACTGGAGCAGCCTGGCGAGAGGGGGCCTGCAGGAGTTGACAATTCCAGGATAATGACAACGCAGATCCCTTTAAACAGACCTCCCTCAAGATGCCTGCAAAGTGGCTGGAGCAAGGAGCCGGGGCGGGGTGGGGGGGGCCCAGCAGACGGCGCTTCACCCTCATCCAAGGCCCCGCCTGAGAGAGGCGGAGCTAGCTGAGGCTCGGGCCAGGGCAAAGGGCATCTGCCGACGCCAAGGCCGGTGTGACACAACCTTGCAGGAGAGAGTAGAATGTGAGAGTCCTCGGGGTGGTGCCAGTGCTGGGACAGTGGGGCGGGAAAGAGAAGCCACAGGATTCATAGCAGCCGGACCTCAAAGGCCCACAGCCCCGCGACATGGGATGTTCACCAGGGAGATCTGTCGCTGCTCATGCTGACTCGGGACAGAGACACTCTGTCGGCAACGCACAGGGACAGCGTGATGTCCGCAGCTCTCCTGTCCAGAGCCGCCTCCCTGACGCTGCCACAGCAGGACTTAGAGTCCAGCCTGGCTGGCTGTGTGACCTCACACAAGACACCGAATTCCCCAGCCTCAGTTTCCCCATCTGTAAGAATGACACATTTAGCTAACTGAGGCCAGAGTGAGAATAAACGGGTTAGGCTGGGCGAAGCTCTTCACACGAGGCCTGGGATGCAGTGTACACTCCCAAGAGGCTTTTCCACGCCTCCTTTCCTGCTTGCTTTCTTGGCGATTCTATCGTCTAACAGGACGAGGGAAGAGACACCTTACCTGAAGTTATGATGAAGCTGTAGGTTGGGGGTAGAAGAGGTAGCCTGGTTCATTGTGCCAATGATGTAAGGGCTGCGGGGGAAAGCGGGAGAAGAAAGCTGTGGCTCACAGGCAGGTGCACAGGCAGCGGCCTCCGCCTCCCGCCGACGTCTCACCACCGCCGGCACGCATGGCCGCCCGTCAGAGCGTGGGGCTTCCCCAGGGCCCGCGAGGGGCCCGCGAGGCCTCGGCTTGGCCATTACCATTTGTGGTACTTGCAGTTGAGCAGCCCGTTGAAGATCTCGCCCAGAGAGCCGACGTGATGCAGGTTGTCCAGGATGATGACGAGCGGCATGTCCACGGCGTTGTTCTCGCTGTTGCACTGATCGGCCAGGTTGGACAGGTACTGGCGCAGCTCCTACAGGGGCCAGGCAGGCCAGGGAGGGCAGGTTGGCGAAGGCGAGAGGCTGGAAGGGGCCTGCACGAGGGCGCGCTGTGGACATGTTCTGAGTGCTCGTGTGGCAGGGAGGGCATGGGCTTGGTGGGCAGGGCGTGTGACAAGGCCACGGGAAGAGCAAGGCCTGGGTCCTGCCCTCTGCCATTTACCCAATAACTGATGCATACGCATCATTTCCAAAGCATTTCTTTATTTTCATTTTACTGGAAAAGGAGAGGGAGATGGTGGGAGAGACTGGGTTGATGGGAGAGAGGCATCAGATCTGCTGGTTCATTCCTCAAAGGCCCGCAACATAGCTAGGGGCTGGGCCCAACTGAAGCCAAGAGCCAGGAACTCAGTCTAGGTCTCCCATATCTGAACTATCACTGCTGCCTCCCAGGGTGCACACTGGCAGGACGTGAGATGGGAAGCGGAGGTGGGACTTGAACCTGGCCACTCTGCTATGGGTTGGGGGGTGGTCCAAGTGGATTGTTCACTACTGTCCCAAACACCCAGCCCCACAGGTAGGATTTTAACCCTTGCCCTCCTAGTTCTCTAGAAATGCCACTCTTCTTGACATTTCTTAGTATGCCCACCTCACAGCAGGCTCCTGCAGGCAGGTGTCTCGTGCATGCCTGTGCCCTCACAGCCCCTGCCTGACAGCCGTGCACACAGAAGCCCTCCCGCAAATCAGTGCAACAGAGCACAAAGACACAGGTGGGAGATGCGGCCTCCTGCACAGAGGGCCTGGGAATGGGTGGGCGCTGGTCAGCCCAGCATGCCTAGGGGGAGAGATGCATGGAAGAAAAGGAAGCGGACAGGCCGGCGTTGTGGTGCAGGGGGTTAGGCCACCACCTTCAATGCCGTCATCCCTACTATGGGTGTCAGTTTGAGTCTGGTTTAGGTCCCTGCACCTATATGGGAGATGCGGATGAAGCTCCTGGCTCCTGGCTCTTGGTCTGGGGAGTGAAACAATGATGGAAGATCTCTGTCTCTCCTTCTCCCTCTCTGTAACTCTGCCTTTCAAATAAAAAAAATTGAAAAAAAAAAAAATGGAGAATACAGGTGCAATGGGGGAAGAGGCAGAACAGTGAGTGAAGGACCAGCCAAGGAAGACAGAATGAGCGTGGCAGGGCTCTGAGGCCCTTACACACGTACTGAAGCTCAATAGCCCCATGAGGCGCTCCATTTTATAGATGGAAAAGCTGAGGCACATCAAAGTCAGGAGATTGGCCTGAGACCACACCAGGATGGGTTCAGACTGGGGTCCCTGCTCCAGTGTGTCCCCCCCACACCAGCCTGTCCTGGACTGTGCCCAGGCTGGCCAACAGGTAACATTTCCTCTACCTCGCTCAAGCACCCTCCCACCACCAGGCCTCTGTTTTAAGTACAAAATGTGGCTTACCAGCACTAGGGTAAGTCCAACTTTTTGGCTTAATAATTCTTTCAGAACCTTTTTTTTTTTTTTCCTTTTTAAAGATTTATTTATTTATCTGAAAGGCAGAGCAAGAGAGACACATGTCTGCTCTCCACTGGTTCACTCCCTAAACGGCCTCCATAGCCAGATCTTGGCTAGGCTGAAGCTAGGAGCCCAGGGCTCCATCTGGGTCTCCCACATGGGTGGCAGGGGCCCAAGCACTTAAGCCACCATCTGCTGCTTTGCAGGTGCGCGAGCAGGGAGCTGGATGGGAAGAAGCAGAGCGGCCAGGACTCAAATCTGTGCACTCTGATATGTGATGCAGGTGTTCCAAGTGGCAGCTTCATCCACTGAGCCACAACACCAGCCCTTTCGATCCCTCTCACTGTGGGGTCTTGCACTGACCAGGTGTCTTGTATCCTGGAGCTTGCCTTCCCCGTACTCCAGCCTGTGGCATATGGCTGGTGCGCTATGATTGGTAAGCAGATGCCTTGCCAAGGGGCATGTGTGGGGGCCTGGCCTCTGTCCTAGGAGAGAGGGTGCCTTCCTGAACTCACACAGGGCTCTCCCTACAGCCACTCTCTTGTCCTGCTCCTATATCGAGATCACGGAGGAGCTTGTCCCACATAACCGGCGGACACAGCTGATCCACGAGGAAGGTTTCAGAGCAGACCAGGCGCTCTGGAAGGCAGAGGAGCCATTTCCCATTCCCCTTTGATTCTCCTGGCCCTTTGCCCAGGGCTGGGGGAGTAAATGATCCATCAACTTTCACTGCACGGACGGCTGAACAGGTCTGAGAAAGCACCTAGCCTGGGGCTGGGTCTAACCTCATTCTAATGAGTTTCCATCATGCACTGCGGAGGGCAATGCAACCTATTTTCTGGCCATTGGGTTCTACCGTCAAAGACACATCAAATGTGAGTGCCAGCTCCACCACTGAGTACCACTTGAGCAACCTTGGGCACAGGGCCCATCTGCTGTAAGCTTCTGCTTCCTCCTCTGCAAAATAGGGGTAGTGAAACTTCCTCCCTTGAAGATACTGCTGGGAGGAGGTCAGTTTGCTGGTCACGAGCAAACCAGTGGGAGCTGCTGTTATGGTGGCTATTATTCTTAACTTTGCTATTGGTGTTCCACACGGGGTTTATTCTGGAAAAACAGTGACTCCGAAGAGGCACAGGAAAAACTCTCGGGAAAGTGAAACGGATGCATCTGGGTGATCTGAAAGAACTGCAGGTCCCAAGCAGCCCCAGGAGCTAGAGGGACTTAACACAGACCGAACTGCCTGCTGGGAGGAGGGGAGCCTGCACCTCCTTTCGGCTCGGCCCAGCCTGACCTCCTTCTCCTGGCTTCCTGTAGCCACCAAGGCCGAGCTGAAAGGAAATGCTGCTCTCCTCCCATCAGGAAGGGGACCGGCCCAACTCGCAGCGGGCTCGGCATGGCCTCCTCACCTTGCTGGACTTGTGGTCCACGTTAAAGGTGGCGATGACCCCATCCGTCAGCTCCCGGCCCTCGCGCAGCACCATGTACTCGGACAGTCGGTTGGCCAGGTAGGTTTTCCCGGTGCCGCTGGGGCCGGAGAGGATGATCCGCCGGTGCTCCGTCAGCAGGGACACGTAGCGCTGCAGGATGGGCTTGGGGATCAAGGACTCAAACACCAGCGAGTCCAGGCTGTTCTCTGCCAGGCCTGCGTTAGAGGGACAGACAGGAAGTCTGAGGTCGGGTAGGAAGGGGAGCCCTCTGAGCTCACCTAGCTGGGAATGTCAAGTCCTGAAGCTATCCCTTCTCTTGAGATAGTCTGAGACCCCTTTCCACCCAGGTACACGGGAGGCAGAGGAAACTGTCGCCTTCCTGCTCACTAGCACCACATGGAAGTCCTGGCCGACTCTCCCAGGTTCTGGGTCGCCTTTAACAGCTGCGCCCCAGTCTTTGTCCTCTGCAGCAGTCATGAGGCTCTGGGCCCCACTTGTCTGTCTGGGTTTATTATACCTATGGCGTGTGCCCAAAGCAAACCCGTGCCTGCCACTGCCTCTTCCCCTTGCTGCCCCCTCTCTGCCAGGGGACACTGCGACCCCCACGGAGATGGACCACGAAGGCGACACCACTTTCATCTTTGAGATGAGAAAAACATGCAAGGCGAGGCTTGCGGCCGAGAGCACGGGCGGACCCAGGCTGAAGTGCTGCACGCCGAGGCCTTGGTCCTCAGCACATCAAGCGGAAACTTATCGCTCCCTTTCCCTGCCTGGGACGACTTCCTTAATCGGGGTGTTTGGCTTTTAAAGAGCTGCTTTCCTGAGACTTTGTCCAAGGGAAGATTCAGCCAAAGTTGGCTGTCCAGAACCTAAAGTAATTCCGTTTAAAAACTCCTTTCCAGAAAACTAGTGTATGCAAAAAAAAAAAAAAAAAAAAAGCAAAATAGCATCTTCCTTCCACACAATTATTCACCACAAGTAGATTCACCCTAATGCACTTACACACTTGCTTCTAATCCTACCCCCCAGCATGAGCCCTAAATGCAGTGACTGTTCCAGAATGACCACCATGAATGTCCCCAGATGCCTTATCTGCTGGGGACAGGCCCGCATTTTTCCTGGCACAGAGCTCACACAGCTCACACTGGATCAAACCCTGATGCAAAGTATAGAACCAGGGTTCCGACGCTTAATCACGATGACGTTAACCAACACTGTGGGAACTGCGCACTTTAGAAGGCTTTTCCCTGTTTAGCTATTGTTCGGTCTTGTGCTATGAAACTCCCAGGGAATAGCTAGCTGGAGGATGAACTCGCCTTCAGAATGTGGAATGTCACACCCTGTCCTGGAGCCAGCAGTGAATCGCTGGGGTTTGTAGTGTCCTGGTGGTGGGGCGGGGGGGATAAGTAGCACCTCAAGATACAGAAGAGATGGGCATCACTGAAAAATAACCCCCAGCTGATGCCTTTGGATGCTAAAACACGAGGATGTGCTGGCAGCAGTGGTGGATGGGGCTCTGCAGAGGCGACATCTCCACCGGAGGCAGGGGGTCCCGTCACCGTTCCTACAGAGCTCTGCTCTGCTCTCAGCACCAGGTCACCCCGCTTACCCTCGGTGCTAGTGCTGCGCACCTGTCACACGCGCAGGTGAACGAGGCACACGTGGCAGCCTGGAGGAAATGCAATTTGAGCCCAAGACACACACACTCTCTCTCTCTCTCTCCTTCAACAGCTCTTGTAGGGGGACAGCTGGCACTCCTTCCCTGCTTCTCCTTGTAGTGTAACTCTTCTGTCCTTTGGGGAGCTCATTCCAGGTAGATCACGTGGAACTGTCCCAGCCCCTTCGTCCACTCACAGGTGTGGCCTTGGTCAAAGCCTCTCTGGGCTGCCTCCGAGATTCAGTGATGGGCATCTGACTCACGGTGGGCCACAGCCAGCCCTGGGATTTTCTGTGACACTTTTCCAGAAAGACCTCTTCCTTCAGATTCCTAAGCTAGAAAGATGATGGAAGGCTCCCAAGGCCTATTTCATCCACTATGCAGGGAGTTCAGAAAATGAGCAAAGCAGCCACGGGCGAAGCTGGGGGAGGCCAGGTCCCGAGGTCACAGCTTGAACGTCCCGGTCTGGCTGCGCCTGAAGTGTATTCCCGGAGTGCTCTGCTACCTGAGCCTATCTATCCACGTTTCTTCTCTTCAGCTACACCTACTTTTGAGTGGGGATTTCTGCCACCTGGAGCCCAAGGGCACAGCTGTGTGAGGCCCCAGGGAAAAGGTAATGCTTGGCACCCACACAGCAAGACCTTGACGCTTGCTGACGGGGAATGCTGGGTGCTTCTGGAAAAACCTACCAACCAGGAGACAGAACTTGCATCAACCAACTCCAAACCTGCACTGTTACAAGACAGGATCAGTGCCTTTCAGGGAATTAAGACACTGGGCAACACCAAGGATGACCCTAGGACAGCATTTATCAAAGTCTCTTTCGCAGGTGGTGCATGAAAGACAGGAAGTGAAGGGGTTTGTGGTCAGATAAATTTGGGAGAGATGGGAGCGAGCAGCCCTTAACCAGCAGAAGTGACCTCTAATGCACCAGTGCACCTGTGCTCCCCTGGCCCCTACACCCCGCATGGGGTAGGATGCAGTTTCCCGGACTTATTTGGCCACAGAGGAACCTGTGGGCCTGGATTCCGTGAGCTCTCTGGGCAGTGAGGCAGCGGAAGCTCCTGCAGCACTCCGCGTGGGCAAGAGCTTCGGCAGCTGCACCGCGGTGCTCTGACGGCTGCTCGTAGCCTACAGCAAATCGTGGTTTCCCCATCTGTAGAATGGGACCACGTCCAAGGCTTGCTGGCAAGAGGCACTCATCAGTATGGGGAGAGCACTGTTTCCACAGGGTAATTAAGATTCTATCGCCCTGGAGTCATGAGGCTAATGGGATCTTTTGTTAAATAATTTCAGCAATGAACGACGATTTATTTCTGGCCGCGGCTGAAAAAGCTCCAGACTGTTTAACTCGCTTAGGTAAGAGAAACTGGTGGGAAGAAAATCAAAACAACCACCCACATATGTACGCCAAAGCAAAGCTGAGCTCACAATCCTCTGCCCGGTCCCAGTCCCAGCACGGCCATCCTGACAGCTGCGCCCTCCGCAGGCGGGCCCAGGTACCTTTGACAGTGACGGAGATGGTGGTGTTCTCGCCAACCAGATAGCCACAGGGGAGCAGCTCTGGCGTTTCCGAAGTGTTGCTGCGCTTGACTTCACCAATGCTATAGCCCAGGACACTGTCTGAATTCAGCCCTAGCTGACTCACCGGGTCCACGTGAATGATGTACTCCTAGGGGGGAAAAATCAAATGAAGAACCCATCGAAGAAGAGGTTTAAATTGGCACATGACTCAGGTTTTCATTGGGTGATTCGCAAACAATTGCTCTTTGTTCTCTGATGTGTGACAATCCAGGTGCGAACGGCGTCTACGGGATCAAATCCCAGCAGTGCGGGCCTCTTAAAATACAGATTTATTTGGCTCGGGATTGGAAGGAAGGAAAACCCCCAAGGAACTCCTAACAGGATTCCAAGAATTTAGACTGTTTTTCCTAAGTTCCTAAGCTGGGCTGAAGCCTCAAAGACATCGAGACCTTGGAACGGAGCTGGAAAATTCACAAAAAAAGCCTTCCCGTACTGAGGAGGACACAGAGCGCTCCAAATGAGCAGCTCGAGGGCTTCAGACAGAGAACTGTGTGTGGAATTCAGGAAGTGCTGTCTTTCAGGTAAGGGACCCAAGGCTGCAGGGCAGTGAACTTGAACCCAAGGTGCATGGGCTGTGCGGACTGGAGGAGTCGCCCAGTAACAGGCCTGTGTGTTTTCGGCTCCTCTGCTACTGTGATGTCCTAGAAGCTCTTTCCAGCCCATGACGCTGCCCATCGGAAATGCGTCCATCGCTCTTTCTGCCTGAGTAGCAGAATCGGCCCTAAGCCGCCTAGTTCTTATCTCTTTCCTTCTACTCTTCTGCACCGGCTGCCGAGATGGGCAACAATATGGTCAGAGAGCGGAATTTCCTCTGTGTAGAGCCACCTGCCTCTGGATGCTTCCAGGGACAGTAGGGGACCAGTTAAGTCAGGTTTTAAACTCAGACCAGGAGCTGGTTCAAGTCCCAGCTGCTCCACTTTCCTTCCATCTCCCTGCTAACCACCTGGGAAAGCAGCAGAAGACGGCCCAAGTCCTTGGGCCCCTGCACCCATGTGGGAAACCCAGAAGAAGCTCCTGGCTCCATTTGGGGAGTGAATCAGCGGATAGGAGACCTCTCTGTCTCTAAAAATTTTTAAACAATTTAACAAGGTCAGATCAAAAACTAGACCAGTGCAACGTCAGCCTCAGTTCCCTCCCATTTAAATGGGACAATAAAGGGCTTAGCATGGCCTCTGGCACAACAAACAAAAAAATACCCAAGGGCGACCACCACTACTCAGGATAGGACTAATAATGAACACTTAAGCTGCTGGTTGACTTTAGGACAACAGAAAAGCTGTACTGAGAGTCCTTCAAATGAGGTTGTGTTCTGTGGTTCACCTTGGCATTCATCAGTCATTTCCCTGGCAGACACTCAATCCAACGGTGTGATTAGAAAAAGAGCTGTGCCAACGCCCTTGACACTGGCCATGGATCAGATGCTACCCTCACCTGTAGCCTAAGTCAGACTCTAAGGCACAGGATGCTGGCACAGCACAGCAGATCCCCAAGGGAACGGCAGAAAGCTGATGGCTTAGCGCCAGCCACAGATCACTTACCCCCAAGCACACTGAACAGGACCCAGTGGTAAGGTAAAAAGTGAATGTGGACATTAGCAGTTCACTGTGAGAGGATCAAAGAACTGCTCAAATGACTCTTGGCTAGCTGGCCAACCACTGCCAAGGGCAGACAGAGTGAGTCTGTACTTACCATCCTCCTCTGTTCCCTTGAGGGCCAGGGGCCAAGTCCCAGCCACAGAAGGATGGTGAGACGGGGGCAGGCCCAAGAGACAACCTGGTTCAGGATTCTCACTTCCTGTTCCCGCCTAAGCCCAGCCTCCCTACCCCCAGCAGGTGTGCCGCCACCACGGTCTTCTTGAGGACTTACTTTGAACAGGCGTCTAACCACCCCATCGAGCACATCCCACTTCGTCTTGCCACTGACTCCAATGCAGCCAATAAGAAAGAGGTGTGGTCTGGAGTCCTACGGGTAAGGAAATGTTTGCAGGTGAAAACGAGACGCCCAGCTGAGGACCTAGACTGCCTTAGAACTCCACCAGTGGTGTCAGAGGGGAGCGGAAGTCCTACTACGTCAGTACCAGGCACAGCTCAGCCTGAAATCTCTCCCTGCTCTCCGGCTATGACAGCAGTTCACGGGTCAGGAAGACAGACAGGCTCGCCTTCTGCTAAGTGTGACCTGCACCACTGCGTGGCTCTCACGCCCTTGGTCTGGAATATTCTCCACCCCTGCGTCTGTCATTGCTCCCTTTTCAAAAATTGCTTATGAACTCACCTCCTCCAGGAAGCCTTCAGCAATTAACCCAACCAGGCACACAGCTTACACTGCTTCACAGGCTCTGAACACAGCTTACATAACGTATATTCTGCACTTGCTTATATTTCAGTTTTCATTCTTCTTGTCTTATTCTTATATCAAGTTCATCTCTGCTAGATCTTAAAAACTTCAGGACAGAGGGAATTTCTATTTTTTCTTTTCTTCTTTTTTTAAAAAAAAGTGTATTGCTTTTCTTCTAAGTAAACATTAAAACATGTTCAATTCAGTGCAACTCCAGGAAGATGCTACACGAGAATATCTTTTTCTAATTCTCTGGTCTCTCTGCCCACAGGGCTCCACATAGTGGGGCTAACTGATCTCACTGATGAAAACTGACAGAACATTCCATCCTGTTGGGTTTTTAAATATCTGACGTGCTCAGAAGAATAAGGAGTTAGGAGGGGAGAGGGTGAGTGGAGGGGGCAGAGGCAAAAGGCAGTTAAGGAAAATCAGCAGAGCGAAGAGCACCAGTCTTCAGTGGGGTGACCTGACCCACCGCCGGCCTTGTGGCCTCCAGTTAAGTGATGCCTGGATCTGGGGTTTCTTAGTGGTGAAATGCAGGTGATAACCCCTGGTCAGCCAGCCTCATTTGGATGCTGCAGGGATCCAGAATGACAGGTTTTTTGACAGTGACCTGTGAACTTTTGTAGAACGTTCAAACTGAGGACCATTGGAATGAACCGGGTTCCCAAGTATTACCTGCACTTACTGCAACAATGAGTTTCCCCGCTCACAGACTGTTGCTCTACCAGCTAATTCTGAAAATGGAGTTATTTGTTGTGTCATCCTAGGCTGGGCTTGCCCCTTGCAGTGAGGCTAGCGCATCAGCCACAGAGTGGAACCTCCGAGACAGACAAGTCTGGCTGCACTGCTTTGCTTTGGTGGGTGCTGCGGGTACACCCAGCTAGTCTGCTAGCTAGGAATGCTAAGAAATTAACACACAAAAAACCCCACAGTTCTTGATGTGCCGACTCATGAGACCATCCTTATTTGAGAGACGGTCACTCAGAGCGTGACTGGCAATGCCTAGACCCTCCCAAGTAATCTCTGGTGGTCGTGCAGACTCTGGAAGTCTCTAGATTCTGCAAGAGAATGGAAACTGACTTCAGACATGCAGAGTCCCCAGCCCCAGTGAGTCAGGACACCCCATCAGCTCCACTCGCAGCCACCTGTGTGTCCCCTGGACTTGGGTGCCTGTCTTTCAGCGTGCATTGGCTGCCTCGGACGAGATCAGACTGGTGCTCTTGTTTAATTCAGCCAGCTTCCGTCTGTGCCTTTTAAGCCAAATGTGCTTAGCTGCCTCTGCGGGACTTTGGGAATCTATTAAGTTCAGAAAAGCCATTTCTGATGGATGTTAGCATTTAGTTAATTGCGGGAAAGTGCAATGGGGGACCACAGTTAGTCCTCTTTAGTAGACTTGCAAACACGAGAGAGGAAAGTACTGCTCACTCCCTTCGATTGCGTCAAAACGCCACCGGCATTACAGTTACAGTAGTTCCCCCTTATCTGCAGTCACCTGTGGGCAACCATAGCCCAAACATAGTACAAGGAAAATTCCAGGAAAAATAATTCATAAGTTTTAAATAACTTGTTGTTATAACATATTTTTATGATTGTTCTGTTCTACTCTTAGTTACTGTTGTTAATCTCTTAATAGACCTAATGTGTAAATTAAGCTTTATCATAGGGATGCATGTATAGCAGAAAACGTAGTCTACTGCAGGGTTTGGCTCTGTCCACGGTTTTAGGCATCTACTTGGGGGGAGGGTCTGTGGATAAAGGGGGACTACTGTAATTAGGAAAAGTATTAGTAGCATTCCCGAATCATCCGAGGTTCCGAGGTGATGCAGTTCCAGGAGAAATCACTAAGCTAGGTGGATCTCCCTGGGGCAGGGACAGGCAGAGCAGGAAAGGGATCCAACTAACCTCCTTCCACTTCATTGCCTCCTGAAAGCTGACAACTATCTTAACATGCCTGCCTCCTTCCTTCCGAGCCGAGCATTCACCAGTGTCATCCAGCAACACGTCTGCGAATGGAAAACATCAACAGCCTTAGGCACACGGGGACAGCAAAGCCGGCCTGCCGACACCCCCGCTGCTTGTCGCACAGCAGCGGGCCAAACCAGGTGTCGCGGTGCAAGGGAAGTAGGGTAGGGTGGGTGGAAGGGCAGAATGGAAAATGCAACCACAGAAACCAACGGTGGACCAACCAAGGAACCAGCTGGCTGACGATGCACTTTGCTGGATGGAAGTGCGAAGGAGAGACTCAACCAAAATGATAGCAACAGCAGCGCCATGGATAAAAAATAAAAGCGTCAGCCTCGGTATGCTTATAAAGAAAACCTGGACCGTGTTCACTGATGACTGCGCCTGCCTGGAATCCAGGAAGGCAGGAAGACCATAGACCAAGCCATCGGCCCGAATGGGACCTGCTACCATGGGCTTTGTATGCAGCATACAGCTCGCAGGTCAGCCTCTTAAAATGGATCAAACAGAACTCAGCATGGTGAGCAAGGGGATCTGAGCTCAGGGCTTGGAGAATCTGGGCCGCTGGAGCAAAGCATGAGAGCAGTCTAACGGCTGGGCTCATGCTGGCAGCAGACACACACCCAGACACACACACGCCCCAAGTGCACACACGCCTGTGCCTCTCCGTTGGCTCTGCTGACCTGCATTATCTTGGGGCTCTCGCTTGGAGACCAGAGTGCCAGCTGCAAGGGCAGACCTGCCCCCCAAAAGCCCTGTGAGCCACTCACCCAGGCTGGTTGACTCAGTGAGGTTCAGGCTGTGTTGGGAGAGGCCCATGGACTGCCTCGGGGAGGCAGAGATGGACACCTGGGAGGGGGCCCGGCTGCAGCCACTGCCTTGAGACTCGGACTTCAGCCGGTCATTCTCAGCCTTCAGCTTCTCTATTTCACTCTGCAAAGAGTAAGGGGAGACATTCACTTACTAGGTTGGATGGAATGAGGAACGAACCCTTTCTGCAGACAGGATCCGCATATTCCCAGCCAAGGCAAGAAACCCCGTCAGCGCGATACAGCAGCCTCTGCTGTGTGCACTGGCAGGCCTGGCTGCAGAGGCTCCATTCTCCCAGAGACTCGGCCTTTGCAAAGAAGCCGCAAACATGTCCAAGGCTCTGCTGAGTGAGCAGGTCTTAATCTCAGAGGTGTGCAGCACTCTGAGTTGGCAGGTTTCGGTACTCTAAGACCTCTCCGAGCCTTTAAGGGGCTGCTTCGTGTGTGAAGCTGTGCATGCCCTCGTGTGCAGGGCTTCCCCAATGCATGTGAGCAAGGAGCTCTCCTCTCACAGAGCCTCTCCGGGAAGGGCTGCTTCAGGGGTACTGCTTTGGGAAACAACTCTCTCCCGAGAGCTCCCCAGGAGTCTGACATTCTCCCATCATGGATGAAGAACTGACTATGTGCAAAGCACTGGTGCTGTGTCCACAGAACGGGGTGCAAAGAGCTGCATGCAAGACCCAAACATCTTCACTCCATGGAAGACGGGGCTTGGGAGGGCTGTAACAAGGAATCTATAGGAATACTCAGGGGAGGGCAGTGACTCTGGCAGCGGCAGGACCTGTTGAGGCTGTGCAGAGGAAAAGGCACCGGCTGCACCTGGAGAGGAGGGCCCAACTCAGATGTGCAGAAGGATCTTGCCATTGTGGGAAAGAATAAGACAGAGGACGTGCAGGACACGCAATGGGAGTCTGTGTGGCAAGTGGGCAGAGTCTGGAAAGTATAGCTGGGAAAGGTGGTGTGGACCAACAGTATAAAGGACCGTGGGAGACCTTCAAGGCCAGGTGAAGGGCATGGTTACGCTTATCTTTTCAAGAGATTGGGGAAGCAGGGGGCAGCCAGCAGCCTCCGGCTTGGTGCACAGCAGCTTCTTGGAAGCCCTTTCCAGTAAGCCTTGGGCTCGGCCCATCCGCCTGGGCTCTCACCTGCATCCTGTTCATGGCCTCCCGGAGCTGGTCGAGCTGGTGGGCGGAGCTGAGGGCTTCTAGGCGGATGTCTGTCAGCTTCATCTCCTTGTCTCTCAGCTCGTTCCGGAGCTGCATGACTGTCTCGGCCTCACTGTCCATGCACTCTGAAATTCTAGGGCAAGAGGAACGTCACTGACAATAGCGCCTCCAAGTTCATCTCCTTTCAGTCTCCCGTGGTCTATTTGTCATCAGGTCTGGTCAGCAGTTATTAATCAAAGTCAGGGTCCTGGTGTCTCAAAGCACCTGAAATTCAGAGTTCACTACTTCTCTGTGTTCTTTCTCTGCAGAGCTCTGGCAATCAGAATGGTTTTTGGTGCAGAGTAATAACTTCTGAACATCACCTGCCCTCCACCAAGTGCACACAGCTGGCTGCTCCAATGACACCACAACACCTTGAGAAGCAAGGTCTACAGAAACTCCAGGTGAAACAGCTGGCCGAAAGGGGGAAGAAACCTAAAGAAAGGAGTTTGCCTATTTCTGATGACACTCTAAACACTGCTTCAACGTGTCCAGGGAGATCAGCCTTCGTGAGTCCCCATGCCCCATACTTGCTGCTACACCCATGGCAAGAAGAGGACCAGCTGCGGGGAGTCAGACACGTCGGGGCACCGCGGGACAGGGAAGCCAGAGTTTGATCTGGAAGCCGCAACAGCTCAGCCAGCATGGCCTTCCCTCCCCTTCTGCACATCAGAGCAAGATGGATGAAGGGCCCCAACTGGTCGGTCTTGCCTAAGAAAAGGCTACTACTAGGATCCAGGGCTCCTTACTTGATGGGGTTTGCCCTTCAAACGCCTGGGAGGTCAGCACACGTGGAAGATCATAACCACATGATGGAGGGCAATGTTAAGAGAACAAAGTTGTCTTTTCAAAAAAAAAAAAAAAAAGGGCCGGCGCTGTGGCATAGCAGGTAAAGCCACCTCCTGCAGTGCCAGCAACCCTAATGGACACCGGTTCAAGTCCTGGCTGCTCCATGTATGATCTAGCTCTGTGCTGTGGTCTGGTATAGCAGTAGAAGATGGGCCAAGTCCTTGGGCACCTGCACCCATGTGGGAGACCTGGAAGAAGCTCCTGACTCCTGGCTTTGGATCGGCACAGTATTGGCTGTTGCAGCCACCTAGGGAATGAACCAGTGGATAGAAGACCCACTTTCTCTCTCTCTCTCTCTCTCTCTCTCTCTGCTTCTGTCTCTGCCTCTCTGTAACTCTGCCTTTCAAATAAAGAAATCTTTTTTGAAAAAAAAATTGTCCTGTGAATCTCAAAAATCATAGGATCTGGGGTACTTGGGTGAACCAGGAGAGAAAGTTTTGACATTTCTTGGAATGTAGACACAAACAACAACCCCAAACAAACCAAAAAAAGAAGAAAAAAAAAACCAGATTCAAGTTCATAAACTCACAAAGCTGAAACTGATTATGTCTGAAAGTCATGATGAGCACACGATCTGGCAGAAATGTCACACGAGCCTGCTCGCCTAGACCCAAGCGCTGGATCTGGGGCCAAAAACAACCTGACCCATGAGACTGGTTGGGGGTGAGGAAATTTTAACTGCCAAAGGAAATCCATTTACAAAATTGTTCAACAAGATGTACCTTTATTTCAAGGGCAGTAAGAAGTAGAAGAAAGCTTTAACTCTTCAGTAGTCAAATCTTCCTTGACCTGTGCCTGCGCAGCCTGGATTCCAGATATAAAGAGTAAAACCGCCTCCCATTTTTATAAAGCTGTCAGCAAACAAGGAAGTTTCCATGGTTCAAAATCCAAGGAATTCTTGAACATATCCTAGTTATGCCCTGTCATACCTAGGAGAAAACGGGAGCCAACAGACTGGGGACTAAAAGGCCCAGAGAGACAAAATGCCTTTAGAATTCAGATCTTCCTGTCCCTGGCTCTTTGTGCTCTGAATAGCCTGTGGCTTGGGAGGTTTAATTATAAGCTGTGCTTTTTTTTTTTTTCTTTTTGGTCTGGGAGGCTTGCAGGAGGAGCCTGCAAAAAGCGGTTCTTTCTTGAGAGGACGCTGTTTTCCTGGTTTAAATGGAGTGTAAAGTCCCAACAAAACTCCATGGGACGCTCCTGAGTTGGCCACCACGGGCCCTCCTGGTGCCGACAATGGAGGCTGCAGTTCACTGTAGAGAACACGCCGTTCTGGCTCGTGCCGTGTCCTGACAGTGTGCCCAGCCCTGCATGGTAAGGCATGGACTCAGGTCCCGTCTGCGCGGTCTGTACCTCTTCTCCAGGATGCTGTCAGCAAGAGACAACATGTCACTCAGCGGACTACACATTCTACCTCGCAGAGCTCGGCCCAACAACAAGTTTCCGAAGGGGCCACACCTGAGTGGTCTGGTGCCCGTCCCTGCCCAAACTCGTGTTGAAATGTTACTCCTACAGTCATCTGTGAACGATGCTCAATGAGGAAGTTGGGGGGGGGGGTCCCATCCCTGCAACAATGGCTGCAAAGAGAGACCCAAATAAGCACGCCTGCTCTCTCGCCATGCGGTTCCCTCCACCAGGCTGTAACCCAGCAGGAAGGCCTCGGCAGGTGCTGTACAGGTACCAGCACCAAGCTCAGAACCATAAGCTAAACCCGAATTCTTTAACACGACCCAGTTTGTGGTATTTAAGTATAGCAACAGAAAACAGCCCAAGACAAAAAGGCAGCAAACAAAAATAAAGAAAGTAGAGAGTAGAGCTCCTCCAGGGTTCCTCTGAAATCAGCCAGCTCTCAGAATCCCAAGAGCAAGACCACAGGGAGGGATGTCCTGCCACACAGAAGGTGTTGAAAACAAGTTATTCTGTAGCAACCTCTGCCAAGTTTTTTCCCTCTGTGGAACCCAAGACACAGCCTTCTCCTTTGGTGCCTTCCCCGGCTGCACTAATGCTATGCCACTGACCAATAATTTCACTGCACTTGACCGGTTACCCCGTGCTGCTGGCCCTCCAGCACTGGCAGTATTCTGTGCATCATTCTAGCGTCTGATCAGACTGACCAGCAGCGAGTGCTCACACAATACACAAACAACTGGGCTAGGCATGTGAAGCAGCTGATTCCATTTACTTCCTTCTAGAATTATCTGCATTTCTAAAATAGGGAGTCTGAGGCACACAGAATAAGATGCCCAGGGTCACACGATGTAAGTATGTCAGAGGCAGCATTACACCTGGTAGGTCCATTTAATTACAGAACCCAGGGTGTAGTGGGTAAAGTGGTGTAGTGGGTAAAGCTGCCACCTGCAGCGTCAGCATCCCATATTGGTGCCGGTTCAAGTCCCAGCTGCTCCATTTCCAATCCAGCTCCCTGCTAATGCATCTGGGAAAGCAGCGGAAGATGGTCTAAGTGCTTGGGCCTGTGCACTCATGTGGGAGATCCTGACGAAGCTCCTGGCTTTGGACCAGCCCAGCTCTGGCTGTTGAAGCCATTTGGGGAGTGAACCAGAGAATAGTTCTCCTCTTTCTCTCTGTCTCTCCCCACCCCCTCTCTGTAACTCTGCCCTACAAGTAAATAAATAAATCTTTAAAACAACAACAAAAAAAACCCAAGCTCCTGAACTATCCCCAGCGGTACTTAAGACATGCTTGTTCACTTCATGGACCACTCACTGAAGCAACCATATGCACATTTTTTTCCTGCTCAGCCTCTAAACTCGTGATCTCAGCATATTCTAGCCACTTTGTCCAGAGGCAGGGCTGAAGGCATACCTAATTTTAAATGCCTTGAGTGTGGGAAACATTGCCTTCCCACAGCTACCATTCCTTTCGCCCACGGGGTCGGAATTTTCTAAGCACAACTCTTCTGCCTTTGGTTTCACCTTTGAACTCTCTCTCACATCTAGACTTGCACATTCTTACAAACCTTTCAAGGTTGGAAATCAGCATGTGCTCCCAGCCCACCCTTTGGAAAACCAGACCCAAAACAAACATCTCCAGTGTCCATGGTTGCTGTGGAATCTAAGAAGGAGGCCAGGGAGCCAAGAGCCTGCCCCGCCCAATCCCCATGGGAAAAGTGGTCTGGAAGGAGCCGCCTCGCTCGGGCTTCTGTGCAGCCAAGTGCATCCTCACCGCTCTCCTCGTCCCACTCGGCCGCCAGCACCACTTGGCCCAATTCCTACTCCTCCCTCTCGGTACTGATTTTCCCCCCACCTCACTGGCTGCACGACTCTCCCTCATGAACTTCAACATCAGAGCGTCCCAGGGCTCAGCCCTTGATATTCTCCGTTCTTCTTCATCTCCACTCCCTGGAAACTTCCTCCAGTTTTCCAGCTTGCAATACCACCTACGAGCTCATAGCTCCCAAATCTATACCTCCAGGGATTCCAGGTTGGCCAGCACCTCCACCAGGGTGCCTGCTGAGCATTTTAAACTTATTGTGGCCCAACCAGAGAGCCTGGTCCCGACCCCTCCCCAACCTGTCTCTCCCACTCATGCCTGGTGCTCAAATCTAGGAATATCCAAGGATGCTTCTTCTTTTGTTCTCCTACTCCACAGCTGGTCCATCACCACTTTTCTTCCAAACCTGAGTCCATCTAGACTCCTCACTAACCATCAATCACTCATTCATGCCACCAAATATGTGAGTGCCTGCAAAACCAATAGAGTGACTACCTCCACGGAGCTTATCGTGTAGAGCTGGGGTAGGTGTGGGGACACAGAACAAAGAACCAAGGGAAATCTACATGTCAGGTGGTAATATGTAAAACAGTGAACAATAAAAGCTGAGGAAAGGGGATGACAGGCATGCTGGCTGGTGGCGGAGGACTTCCTGATGCCAGGGGCATAGGCCAGGCCTGGCTGATCAGGTCACACTGAGCACAGACCAGAAGGGAGTGAATGGCTGGAGGAAGGGCAAGCAGGCAGAGGGCACAGCAAGGACAAGGACAAAGGCCTTGAAGTGGGGAGTGTGACCAGAGTATTCAAAGCAGTTGTCAGTGCCCAGAGAGGTGGAAGCCAGGGCAGTGCTGGCAGCCTTATGGGATTTTTGCTCCTCATCCACAGACAACGAATTCAGACGATCTCAACCCTCCTGTGTCTGCCCACTGTACCCGCAATCGGATGCAACTTCAGGTTGACGTCCCAGCTGTATGAGCGCAGTATGGCCCGGCTGTCTCAGTGCCTCTTTCCTACCACTCCATCCCTCGAGCACCACCCTCTACCCCCAGCTCCTCAGCCTGTTTCCTCATTCTGTCCCCTGTGCTACAGACTTCTCGGGTCGGGCAGGACACCCTGCTCACTGTGAGGCTGACCCATGTTCACCCATTTCTTTGGACTTTTTCCTTTGTCATTGGGATGGCCCCGAGACCTGGGTAGTGGGAAGAGGAAGGCTGTACCCCTTACAGACCGTGTCCATAAAGCCCTCCCCTGGGATCCTCCCATTGCTCCCTTCTGCCCCTGCTGGCTGGATGCAGAGCCCCGAGCCAGGACTTGGGCAACAGATGGCAGGAGCCTTGGGCCTACCTCGCCCATAGGGCAGGCGGTGAACTGACTAGGAATGTCTGCCTGGGGCTTGCAGTGAGCCTGAAATAAACCATCCGAGTGTATTGTAGCAGCTAGAGCTACTGATCAGAACTAGCCCAGTGCTTCCTCCTGTTCCAAAGATCTCAGCTGAAAAGCTGCCTCCTCCAAAAGGCCTTCCCTGACAGCCCATCGAAAGCTTGCCAGGAGTATGGCAGTTAGGTTGTCACTCAGAACGCCTACAAACCCACATCAAAGCGCCAAGTTCAAGTCCTGGCTGCTCCGCTTCTCACGCAGCTTCCTGCTAATGCACACCCCAGGAGGCAGCAGATGTTGGCTCAATGCCTGGGTCCCTGCTACGTGGGAGACCCAGAGAGTGGACTCCTGGCTTCGGCCTGGCCCAGCTCTGGCTGTTGCAGCCATGCGGGGAGTGAAGCAGCAAGTGGAAGATCTTTCTGTCTCTCTGTCTTCCAAATAAAATGAAAATAAATAAAAATGTAGGAAAAAAAAACACTTAAAACAAAGCTGCTGTCAAGGTACTCTGCATCCAAGCACTATTGTAAGTCACAGCATTAGCCCTTGGTGCTGATTTTTCTGGTTTATTCAGGATTCATCTGCTATACAGGATCTGTCAGAGTAGGAGTTTGTCTGGTGCACTGCTTTAGCAGAGCTGAGCACAGTGGCACACAGTGGAGGATCAGGGGTGGAATGAAGGGTCTGAGCCATGGCCCCAGGAGCCCCTGTATCCCAGGGATGGTGGTCTGGTTACACCTAGAAGAGGGCTCTGCTCCCAGAAGCTGCTGCATACAAAGTTCCCACCAGTAAACACAGAACAGGATAAGTTCCTCCATCCTCTAGCCAGGATGCTGTGGGGTGAGGACAAAGTGAGGCCGTGTGCTGTTTATGTCTCTGGCAGCTTGCAGGTCACATGGGAAACACTCTTGCAATCTGTCACTCAGTCTTGTCACTCCAGGAAACACAGTGGTGGGGGCCAGTGCTGTGGTGCAGCCGCCTAAAGCTACCGCCTGTGACACTAGCTTATGGGAGCCAGATAGAGTTCCCTGCTAATGTGCCTGGGAAAGCAGTGGAAGATGGCCCCAGTGCTTGGGCCCCTGCACCCACATGGGCGACCTGGAAGAAGCTCCTGGCCCCTGGCTTCAGCCTGGCCCAGCCTGGCCCAGCCCTGATTGCTGCAGAGCCACCTGGAGAGTGAACCAGTGGGTGGAAAATCTATACACATAAAATTCTGCCTTTCAAATAAATAAATCTTAATAATAGTAATAGTAACAATAATAATAAAAAGAAACACAGGGTGTTGAGCAGGTGCTGCGGGGATGGGTTGAAGTCCAGATCTTGAGCGATCCTCTTGCCCCCTCTGCTTAGATTTTTGCCCTCACCCATGATGGAAGTGCACACCCCTGCAGTGACCCTCTCACCAGGGTGGTCCCCAAGAGAAGAGAAGAGGAGCTGATAATCTAACGACGCACAATGGAGACCCTGGTAGGGCCACGGTCCACTAGTGGGAGGCGTCGCTTAAACTTCACATCTCCCTTCCGGTTCATGTCTTCACACAGGTGAACAGGCCTCTGTATTCCCTGCTCGTGCCTCGAGAGCCTGGGCCTTGGACTGTCTTCCTGTCTCTCCACGGTGGAACAAACAGCCGGGGCTCCGTGGGAACCACAGGGGGTCAGTGGTACCTTGTAGCGAAGGGGAACAGGACCTAAATAACTGAACCCCCAAGCAGCCGTGCCCGAGGAAAGGCGCACACACTGCTCTATAAAACATGAAATCCTTGGATGAAGACAACTGCTACTTGATTGTCCCACTGTCTTCAACTTCCATTTTCTGAGCTCTGACCTCAGAGAAAGAGCCAACACCAAATTCTGACCAAAGAAGAAAAGGCTCAACTAAGTCTTCTCACCTAAATGGACCAGAATTTCGGCAAAAAATCGCCAAGACTAATAACATCATCTCCCCCTCAGAGCAAAAATGTTTCTGGTTCTTTCACGTCCACAGACTTTGCTCAATCCTTAGGCAAGGGTAAGCAGACAACAACCTCAATCCAAGATAGCATACAGAGAAATGGAAATAAAGCCATGTTAAGGGGTTTGCTGAGGCCAGCCGGCTGACTATGGACACTGACACCATCAGAACTCAAACCCAAGTTGCCTTTCTCTTTCAGCATTGCCAGCCCTAAAACACTGAAAGAATACGCATAGTTCTGTCAAGCAAAACATGAAAGGCTGCAAGGTGCAGATGCACCATCAATCACAGGTCTTGCAGCCATGCCAATGTGAGAGGGCTCCTAGGGGACAAAGACGGCCCCCGAGCAGGCAGACTCACAGGGAGTTGGAGTGGGAGTTCCGCAGCAGTGGAGTGGAGCCCGTGGTGCCGTTGTGTGGCAGCTTCGGCGAGGAAGGCAGTGATGAGTCCGTCATCTCCTCTATGTCTGAATGCGAGGATGCCGACTTGGGGGACTTCTTCTTCCCGAAAGCTTGCTTGAAGGAGCTGCGTAACTGAATACAAGAGATCATCAGCCTGGCAGGGGCTGCCACCGGCGCTCAGACTTGGCTCAGCAGAGACATGCACACGAGAGAGCAGTTAATTCTCCCACGTCTCCCCCGCCAAAGGACAAGGTTCCCCAGAGCTCTCTCGCATCAGTGCATTAAGGGAAGAGGAGTTATCTGGTGTTGACAGCTCGGGAGACTGGACCTGTGGGTGACATTCCATGCCTACGCTTGGTTCAAGACTAATGCCAACCGCAAGACAGAGCCTGGCTCAGCAGATGGGTGTCGGGGAGATGAGGTTACACAGCAACGAAGCAGGATGCTCAGACACAGTGACGGATGCGCATGGGGTTAGTCATATCAATGGATGGGTTAGCTTGGTGTCTGATATTAAAGTGGGTCTTGCTTACCTCATTGACCTGCCAGAGAAAACGCAAGCAAAAACAGGGAGGGGGGAGGAAAAAAGACAATTTTTAACAGAGAAAGCCAGTGACAGGGAAAGCTTCGGAGTTTTCAGACACAACACGGCTAATAATAAACACCACACACGGAGGAGGTATCCAGTAGGAACACGAGTCTTTGAAATTACTGGGGGTATCTTCTTCCATGATGGAAGGAAAGGAGTAACGGGAGGGGGGCTTACAATCTGTGTCCTGCTGGCTTCTCCCTGTCAGGTGACATGGATGCTCCCACCCCCTTCCATGATGCTCACTCTCTTTTGCTTCCTACCAGTCATCTCTCTACGCCTTAGGTTTCTGGAGGCGGGGACACATGTCTTCTTTCCTTAGCAGGGCAAGGTCCCACACGGCTGGAGAGCTCTCAGAAACATGTGCCTAGGAGTTCCTGCAGTCCTTCTACACGAGAAGGTAATCCAACAGGTAGGGAACTAGCTACTTATTACTCCAAAAATGGAGAGTTACTTTTAAGGGACTTATTAACCGGGCTGGGCCAAGGACTGGTATGTCACAATTTCCCCAAAGCATAAACAGACCTGAAAATTTGAACAATTAAATGCAATGTCTTCTTCTATGAAACCTATGATCAACATGTATTTTTCTAAGCCAAAATAATAATGAGAATGAGAATGGAAATAATTCATCTTGAAATTACTTTAAAAAGTAACTGCCTTAGCCCATGTCATGGTGCAGTGGGTGAAGCTACCATCTTGGATGCTTGCATCCCACACTGCAGTGCTGGTTCAAGTCCTGGCTGCTCTGCTTTGGATCCAGCTCCTTGCTAATGTGCTTAGGAAGGCAGTGGAATATGGCCAAATACTTGGGCCCCTGCCACTCACATGGGGGACTTGGAGAGAGTTCCAGGCTCCTGGCATTGGCCTGGCCCAGCCCTGGCCATTGTTGCCCTTTGGGAAGGGAACAAAAAGATGGAAGATATCTCTCCCTCTCTCTCTCTCCCTTCCTCCCTCCCTCCCACTCTCTCTTTTTCTCTCTCTTTCCTTCTGTCACTGTGCCTTTCAAATACATAAATAAATCTTTGAAAAATAAGTGCCCTTTTTAAAAGTCTTTCTTGCTTCTGAAAATATATTCTAGGGGTCCACTTAGCCACTGAGAAAATTCATAAAATGGGCCATTCTGAAAACAACAGATTTTCCTCCATAACACGTCCAGCTCACAGCAAGTCTAGATCCCATTTCTCTCCCGTGTTCCACTTCCGACCATATTTCTAGAGAGCTGTCAGAGAAACAGGAGGGTGTGACATACAAGCCAACAGCCTCGATTCTTGCCTCTGTATCTGGTAAAACATCAGGTGGAAGGCGCAATTACAAAGATTAGGCAGAATTAAGCTTTGGGATTAGCTGAGGATGGCAGTTACCCATCTTTCCCGATTTCACTGACAACCAAGAGTTATCTTAACGCAAGGTAAACAAGCTTTTCTTTTTCTTGAAGCAAACGGACAATTACTATTTTTATAGACAATAACTCTCATCACTTTGATAATCAAATGAGATCATATTTGTCATCTGCATATCAGAGATGGCAGCATGAGTTAATCCTATCTGTTTAGTCAGAGCAAATGAGTCGACTCAAAGCTATTAGAAATGTAAAGAACAAAAATAATTAGAATGATGGGAGGGTCACACTCTACTGGCCTCTCAGCGTGCCCCCAGTGCAAGACACATCAATAACCAAAACACCAAGTTCCCAACTCCTCCATCACTAGACCTCGCCACCCATCCAAGATGACACAAGATGAGTGACAGGTGAGGGACGAATGAGGACACTGGTGCTGCTATGAGAACACGATGTTGGCGCTGACAGATGGGACCCTGTGAGCACGGAGCACCTTCAGATCAACACGGGGGATCCCTGCACTGAAGCCAGAGCGCAGTGATGTCACACAGAGCTCTGCGGCCACAACAGCAGAGGGACCAAGTGGGCAGGAGAGTGGGAAAAGCCATTCAGGAAACCACTGTCCGGAAATGCAAGCAGCTCTTTGGGACTATGGACACGTGGAGAAATGCTACAACAGATACGGATCCCCATTTTGAGGTAGAATTCTCAGTTTAGAGCTGCTCAGTAATTCTTAATATCGACAGTATGAAACGGTCAGTTTTCCAAGAGAAGGTTGGTTTGATACGGTCCCACACAATTACAAAAATAAACAGATAAAGATTACGGTTAACAGTGAGGTCACTAATTTGTGATTTGTGCTAAAAAAATACTCTCAAACTAAGAAGTCACTTAATTGGTGACACTGCTCTAGTATCTGGAACTTTGTGGCCAACATCTAATGAGGAAGAAATGATACATGTATGGAATGGGGGATGAGTCCTTCACATAAAGTCTCATGCAAGAGAAAAACTATCAGGTGGAGGTGATTTTTCAAACCTTAGTGTTTTGCTGAGCACAACAATGATTTCCATGGAAACCTATGCACAAACTGCTCCTGGGGTCTACTCCCAAGGCTCTGTGTGCCGAAGTTAAGAGCTAACACACTTGGTTCTGTGACTGCATAGTGGTCCCTGGGATAGTCTTTGGCTACACACTCACCCAGTTCTTTCTCTTCTTTTTCTTGGAGTCACTCTCTATGTTGCTGCCCACACTGGAGTGGCTGGTGGCGCTGTTGATGCTGGAGACGCTGTCGGAGGAGTGCTGCCTGCGAATGCGGAGGTCTGAAGCCTGGGAGGCGCCGTTTCCTGGAGACCAAGGCGGGGTAAGTCAGTAGCTGCTTGCTTGGGCCCAATCCTCTCTCCTAAGCCACAGCCCTCACAGCATAGAGATATCAGGTATTTTGCACTGAGACATCACCTGGGTTCCCCCTCCTGGATTTAAGGTCCTTGAGTAGGTACCCTTTAGTCCATTAAATGAGGTCTATCTCTTCCGCACTTGACAAATGAGAAGTCAAGGGAGGCACTGGGAGAACTTCTCCCATGCCAGCTCTGGTAAGCTGCAGATAGGCACAAAGGGTTTCCGAATGGCAGCCACAGCCACTGCTGTCGCCAGCCTCCAGCCTCCTCCTCTCTGTGCTCTCTCTGCTCCTGCAACACGTGGTCTTTTTCAGCCCCTTGTTGTGTGCCATGCCCGCCTTCTCTCAGGGCCCTCGCCAATGCTATGCCCTCTACCTGGAATTCTCTTCTCTTTTCACTCAGGCCAGCTCTTGCTAAGCCATGCCACCCATCATCACTTCTTCCAAAACAATGAAGATACTACACATAACAGTGCTATCTGAAATAAAGTTTGCCCACAGGTTTCCGCTGGATCCACAGTCCAGCCTGGAAGAGCACTGGTTTTAGAGCCAGACAGATTCAAGGCCTCGATCTGTTTCTGCTCCTTATACTCTCTGCCCATAGGAAGTGACTCAGTCTCTGAAACTGCTCTCATCAGTGCAATGAGGAAGAGATCAGTGTCACAGGTGCAGAAATAAAATGAAATACATAAAACACTTTTACGTAGTCTTGAGAACCCAATAAGTGATCCACAAATGCTAGATATCAGTATTTTTTGCAGGAGGTCACTCACCTTCATGCCCACTTTTTAATTTTAGTCCCAATTCTGATACACAAAGATGAAGCAAATTACCCAGAAAAGTTTTTCTGGACAATAAGAGACAGCCCTTTTCAGCTGATTTCTTGCTGGCGTGTAAGCATCAAAGCGTTAGCGAAGTCAAGGGCTGTAAAACTCTCTGCCAACAGAAGTTTATTCCTTGCATTTGGGAGATACATCCAGAGAAGAGGATGAGCTGCAAGAGCCATCTTTATCAGGGCCAGCAGCAAACACAAGTTGCCTTCCAGGACCAGTCCTACTGACCCGGAAGTAGATCACACAGGGGTCCAGCCAGGGAGGTTGCATCAGTGCCATCAGGGGAGGGCCCTAAGGGCTGCGTCTCTTACTTTACCTTTGCAGTTGAGCTCTGGTGTGTTAATTACTCCATTAATGGCAGCCTGGGCAGCTGCGTTCTGTTTCTTCAGCAGCTCGATAGTTTTCCTTAACTCATTCAGTTCTGAATCCTGGAGCACAGAGAGAGGCATGGATCACCTTCAAATCATGGCACACGAGTTCAACTGAAGTACGAGTTAGGTTCAACAGAGGGGGGCAGTGAATGAGATCAGGAAAACCTGCCTTCGGCATAAATTAACATAGAAGAAGAGTAAGACTATATGCGTAAAAGATCTGTCATTCATTTGACCGAAGTCACACTTTTCCCTAACAGACCTATTATTGACAATTAAGTTCTGGCAGGTTCAAGGACTAGACCAAACTCTGTATGATGATCTAAAGGAAAGACAGGAATATTTTTAGGTTTCTTGCTTATGTCCAAGCAGGGAGAAAACAGCCTTCCTCCTGCCTTACCTTCTGCTCGGCTGTCATGGTCAAACTCTGGAGCCTGATTGTCATGTTCCCCAGACTCTGTTCAAAAGCTGCCACCAGGTGGGCCTGGAGGAGGAAGACACCGCTCAGTTATGCTACGGTGCACGGCAAGAGTGCCGGAAGGCGCTGCGGCCTACAGGCAGGGCCCCTCATCAGGGCCACTTGATCTGGCCCGTCTACCCCTTCAGCTACTTCTTAAATCCTACTTCCCACTACTCTCTGGAATCAAGTTACTCTAGCCCCCAACTCACTCAGACGCCCTGTGTTCCTTCCCACCCCAGGGCCCTGTGCATCCCTCCCCTGCAGTCTGGAAGGCTCTCCCCACCCTGCCTGACTCATGTTCACATGTCTGTCTCAAGAGCTCTCAGCTCATGCCTTCATCACACCTCCAGCCCAGGCTGGTTCCCTCTCATTCAGTCTCACAGGCACAGCCTCCCTCTGATGCACACTCCGTGCTATCACAGTCAACAGTGAGTGCTGGTTTATGTCTGTCTGCTCTGCTCCACTGCAGGGTGCTCTTTTGCTCACCAAGTGCCAAGCTCACAGCAGAGGCTCATAATAACCATGTTTGTAGAACGAGGGAACAAAATAGCTGGCTTACTTGGCTTGTTATGATCCTGCCTAATAAAAAGCCACTGAAAGGCCCATCTGCTACCTCCTTGGAGAAACCTTTCCCAGTGCCCCAGGGACTCAGTTTCCCCATAGGCTCTCACGCACATCTATACACTTCTGTTGGATGTGAGGTCAGATGCACCACTACTTTACCTATTATTAGGACATTTTTAAAAAATGTGGTAATTGTAATTAAAGTATGCATTCCAGTTTCAGAGATGCTAAAACATGAAAAAAAAAAAAACCCTATGTAGCTTAGAATTGAGAAATGTATAATTTTCCTGCCTGCCCCTTCTCTATAACTATCTTCAAGGGCAACAGACAGCTTTGTGTCCCCATCCTAAGCCTTCTGCCTGGGACACAGAGGAGCAGGTGAAGTGTTGACTGACTGAACAAGGATCTTGGTAATGACAGAACCAGAGTAAAGAATGGATTTTTTTTTTATTTATTTGAATGGCAGAGAGAGAAAGAGAGAGGGAGAGAGAGAGATATCTTTCATCCAGTGTTTCACTCCCTAAATGGCCACAATGGCTGGGGTTGGGCCTGAACAAAACCAGGAGCTTCTTCTGGGTCTCCCACATGGGTACAGGGGCCTAGGCACTTGAGCCATGCTGTTTGTTCCCAGGTGCGTTTGCAGGGAGCTGGGTTGGAAGTGGAGTTGCCAAGACTCGAATTTGCACCATATGGGATGCCGACACTGCAGGCTAAAGCTCAACATTCTTCACCACAGTGCCAGCCCTTAGAATGGATGCTTTTTCTTTCTTTCTTTCTTTCTTTCTTTATTTTTTATTATTTTTTTGACAGGCAGGAGTGGACAGTGAGAGAGAGAAACAGAGAGAAAGGTCTTCCTTTTGCCTTTGGTTCACCCTCCAATGGCCGCCACGGCCGGCGCGCTGCAACCAGTGCACCACGCCGATACAATGGAAGGAGCCAGGTACTTATCAGGTCTCCCATGGGGTGCAGGGCCCAAGTCCTTGGGCCATCCTCCACTGCATTCCCTGGCCACAGCAGAGGGCCGGCCTGGAAGAGGGGCAACCGGGACAGGATCCGGTGCCCCGACTGGGACTAGAACCCGGTGTGCCGGCGCCACAAGGCGGAGGATTAGCCTAGTGAGCCGCGGCGCCAGCAGAATGGATGCTTTTTCAAACAGTCATGCTAAAGAATTCCTAGCCATTGATGAAGAACCCATGAGCATGCCAGGCCCTTCTAACTTCCAAAATCCACCTGCATCAATGGAACAAGAGCCTGTCCTTTAGTTAGAGATATTGGGCAGACGAGATGGGGGTCACTACGTCTACTTTGCTCACCCCTGCCTCTTCACTGCTGGTCCAAAGCAGCCAGATGTGTGCTGGATGAGCAAATATAAGGACCAAAGAGAAGAGCAGTTAGATGGAAGAGGCAGTGTGGCATAGGAGAAGCAAACAGAATGTAGTTAGAGGTCTTCAGGGCTCATTCTAGTTCCTTCTGACTGCTCTTAACACTGAGCGAGTCATCTAATTTTAGGAGAATAGCACCTATCTTCCTCCCAGGGTTACTCTGAACACTAAATGAGATAAGACAGGTGAAAATGTTCTATAAACTTGTGAGGAATTGTAGAACACAAGGATGAACGGACACTGTGGTGAAAGAAAGGTTTGGGGATGAGAATGTGACAAAAAATATGAGATGAATATATGAGGGTTTTCCAAAAAGTTTATGGGAAACAGAATTAAAAGTAAACTTATTTTGGCGCAAAAAATTTTGAAAACCATGCAAATGAGTCTTCAAAAAGTTCCTGGAAAATGTGTATTATGAAAAAACTATACATGTATTTCAAAAAATCTTATACAAAAATCAACTTTATTCATTTATCCAGCTCTTTGCTATGGCCTTGGAAAGCAATAGAAGATGGTCCAAGTGTTTGGGCCCCTGCATCTGCATGGGAGACCAGGAGGAAGCTCCTGGCTCTGAATCGGTGCAGCTCTGGCCATTGTGGCCAACTGGGGAGTGAACCAGCAGATGAAAGACCTCTCTCTCTCTCTGCCTCTCCTTCTCCCTCTGTATAACTCTGACTTTCAAATAAATAAATCTTAAAAAAAAAAATATATATATATATATATATATATATATATGCTTTAGTCTGTCCTGGTGAATGCAGCAAAGCCAAAGCCAATCAATGCAAGGCGGTTTCATGGTAGGTGAAGACAACGGAGCAACACACGGCCGTGCGGACGGAGGCCTGCCATCCTCACCCTGCACAGCAATCACCAGGCTGCACTGACAGCATTCTGTCTCCCATGCTGTGTCTGACTGCCACTCATGCTTCCCATTGTGGGCGCTCAGATTTTCTACGCAATTAGAAACCCAAGCTCAAACCTGACCCTGCGGAGACTGCTAGTGAGAAAGTGGTTCTGCAGGCTCACGGAGAAACGCATTTGCTCTGAGGTACCAGAGGATCCCATTTTGCTGGCACAACCAGGAACATATGGGCTGCACGGGCTGCACTGAGCCGGGTTCAGAGCCACAGAACAGCCTTCGCACCAAGCACCATTCTCCCGTTCCCAAGGAAAACAAACACGAGTGGTAGGAAAACACCCAGAGAAGGCAACTCGGAGGAGTTTGTGCTAGAAAAACAAACACAGCTCGGTCTGTGACAAAGACGGCAGACAATAAAGCAGGCTAGCACTGCTGGTTGTGTGCAGTAAGACTCAATATTGACTTAAACAGTACTGGATTCACTGGCATTTAAAGAGAGGGCAAAACGCACTTTTGGACTAAGTTCTGGGACACAGGGTAGAGTTCGAATGGCCAGCACGAGGTCACTGGAGCAAGGAACCCGAGGGCACTGATGAGCAAATTAATGACTACGTGCTGATCAGTGAAGGGCAGCAAGGGACTCTGGGAGTCTAAACCAGGAGAGAACCTCAGAATCTCTTGGGGGTGGGGGTGTTGCTGTCCAGCCTCACCTGTGGGGATTATCCCAGGAGACCCTGGTTCACTGGGAATCGATTTGGTTTTGGATCCAGAGGCACACACCTGGTTATCCAATGATGCATCTGCCCTTACAGTGCCTTTGCCGATTTGTCTGAATAGAATCTAAGCTTTGGAATTCGGTTCTCCCATCTATATCTGATGCTGTTTTGAGAACATCATAGGCGGTTGAGAGGAAAATAAAGGACTACACAACACGCAGCTGGCTAGTATGTTAGAGCTTCAGGAAAAAATTAGATTTGTTGAAATGGAAGAGGGATTAAGAGAACGAGTGAGAACGAGAGCAGCTATCAATTGTTGAGGTCAGGCACCGTGTGCAGTGCTTCATGCGCAGACTTCAGGAGAGACGGTTTTTTTGAATGGACTTGGGTGGGACTCGCCAGGGTTCAAATGCCAGGTCAATGATTACTTTGCCGTGTTGACTCAGTGTCCCGGTCAAAGGGGACACTCTTTTGAAGCTGCCTTCCAAGTCAATAGTGCGCTACAGCGTCACACAGGGTCACAGAGGCCGGTTCCTGCCAGGCTTCAACACGGCCATCTGCGGTCTCGGGCTGGGTGGTGAATTCCTGAGCAGGGCACCTTGCCTGAGAGGCACCCTGGCACCTTCCATACTCTCCGAGATCTCAGGCTCCGTTGTGGCAAAGCCGCAGGACGGCAGATCCCCTGCCTCTCCTCCGCCTCCCTAACCCAACATCCACACCCCAGGCAGGACACTTTCTAAAGAGCAAAGTGGATCATCTCACTACTTGCTTATTAGAACTCACTGATGGGGCTCTCCTAACTTCAATAGAGCGCTCGGACCCTGCCTGACGGTTCAGACACAGCGACCTGACCCCGGCCGTTCCTTGAAGCTTTCTGCCTCCCCACCTGCCTCTGCTCTCCATCTCCCTCTCTCTCTCACTCTCACCCAAGCCATGGATTCTAACCATACCAAGCTACCTAGAGTTCCAAATGCACCAAGATCCTTCCCCCTTGGCCTTGGCCTAGACTATTCTCTTTGGTCACAACGCTGTCCTCCCTATGCATCTTTTCCTATACCATATCCATCAAATGCCACCTCCTCCAGGGAGTCCCTTGTGGGACCTCCTTGCTATCCCCACAGAGACTGATTTTGGTGCTCCTCTTGTGTACCCACAGCCTCCTCCCTTCATCTGCAGCAGTTACCGTGTCACGACAATGCGGTTTGTTTCGTGTCTCCGATGGTGCAGAGACTGAACACAAGGATGACAGTGGCTGTGCTTGCTTTGCTATTGAAGCCGCAGTGCCTGGGGCGTGGCTGGCACTCAGACAGTTGTTGAACTGAACGCTGGCTGGCAGTGCCTCCCGAACATGCCATTGTGCACATTATAATTACAAAGCAGATTGCTATTTACCACAAAGCCCTACGTTTCTTTTTTTTGCTCCCTTTCTTTTTTCTTTCTTTTCCCTTAAGGGCAAACTTTGCAGGAAGAGGAGGAGAAATGAACAGCTTTTTTTTTTTTTTCCGGGGGGCGGGGGGGAGAGATCCCACCTGTTGGTTCCCTCCCCGTGTGCCTGCAATGGCTCCCTGGTTGGGAATAAAGCTGAGAATTCAATCCAGGTCTCCTACATGGGCAGCAGGGACCCAACTACTTGAGCCACCGTCTGCCACCTCTCAGGATCTGCATCAGCAGGAAGTTGCATTCAGGAGCTGGAGCCGGGAATGGAACCCGGGCACTCCAATGTGAGACGTGGGCATGCCAACCACAGTCTTAACCTCTAAGTCAAATACCCACTCTGCAATCAATATCTTAATGAACACTTAACATATTGCAAGTGTTTCCTGCTACTGCACCCTGGGAGCAGCAGGTGATGGTTCAAGTGCTTGGGTACCTGCAGCTCACATGGGAGACGAGGATGGAGCTCTGGACTCCAGGCTGAAGTCCTGGGTATAGAGGTGTGAGTATTTGGGGAGTGAACCAGCATATGCAAGACCTCTCCTTCATTCAATCTCTCACTCTTTCAAGTGATGAAAATAAATATTAAAAATATACACACTGGAAGCCGTGATCACCAGACAACAGTGGAAGGTAAGCTCATCACCCCCATGGCACAGAGCACAGCGGGCTTGCAGGTTACAATCACAGGCAGAGTGGCGGCTGACATCCACAGCCAGGGGGCTGCAGCCTGTGTCCTCATTATCACACTGTGCTGCTTCTCGGGTGCTCGGAGCCCAGCAGGCGGGGGTGGCTGCGCTTAGCCCCGGCAGCTGCCGCCCCGCGTCTGTACTCACATTTGCCGTCAGCTGCGTCGTCAATGCTGACACCTTCTCTTGGGAGGCATCCAGCTCCCGCCGAAGTTTGCGAATCTGAAGATGACCAGGGAGAGCGTTACTCACTTCAGGAGTCTATTCCCAGCTGGAGCTTGGCAAAAACGACCGATAGCAGCAAGAGAGAAAATACCACCAGCAAATTGTTGCTTACCTCCGACTGGCACTTTTCTTCCGGCTGTAAAGATAACAAAGAGGAAATCAGAGCGGTGGAGGAGCAACGCACAGCACAGGCCGGCCTGTGAGGAGGGCCTTACTTGGACACACGGAGCAGTCTGCAAGCTGCGTTTGTTCCTGGCATATTGCTTTAATTAAGCTGACCCATCAGTCACACACAAATGGCTTATCATTTTAAGGGATGAGAAAAACATTCCAAGTGTTCTGTTGTAAAGAGCCCCCGCCCCCATGTGGAGATGGAAGCTGGGCAGGTGCACAGGAGAGGGGCGTGAGCCAGACCCAGCAAAGATAATCACAGAACACCTAGTTGCATCTGAAACGCTTTTTAGTCTAAGTACATCCCAAGCCATACTGGGGACATACTTCTATGAGGAAATTGTTGCTAAGCTGAGTTTCAAATGTCGTTGGTTGTTCTGGGTTTACTTGGCTTTGTCATGCAAGGGGCAAGGAAGACTGCTCCTAGGGTCACTCTGCCCCATGTGCTCTTCCCCGTCCTGTCCCAGGACACTACAGCAGGAGTAGTGGCAGGGCAGAAAGGGGAAGCGGCTGGGAGCTCCTGGTCAGCCAGCCCAGGAATTCCAGAGGCTGTGAGCCTAACTGTGGCCTTCATCTTCCTGCTGTCCTACCTGGAATCCCCCACAATTCCCTGTGTGACCCTGGTGAGTGAGGGTGAACCCTGAGGCCTCTCTGACTGGCAGGGTCTTCCTTGCTGGCTCTGAGGCTCCGGGGACACAGGCACCGGGCAGTGAGAAATTCTAAAACGCTCTCTTCTCCCACAGGGGGAACCCACACAGGCTGGAGGAACCTGCTACAGGAGAAGCCTTGCTTTCCTTCTCCTCTGGTTCCCACAGGGGCCTAAAGAGCACACATCCCTGGGGCAACCGCTGTGGTGCAGTGGGCTAAGCCACTGCCTGTGACACCAGCACTCCATATGCAAGTACCAGCCTGAGTCCCAGATGCTTTGCTTCCAATCCAGCTGTGTGTGTGTGTGTGTGTGTGTGTGTCCGTGTCCCTCTCTCTGTCTTTCAAATAAATAGATAGATAACCGGAAGGAGGAGGAGGAGAACATGACAGCAACAGCAACATATCCCTTCCCAAAAACGTTGCAAGTGTCCATGCCCTTCTCTCCAACTGCCACTCCAACTTCACATGGTGACGGGGTGACAGGGGAGCCGGGGGAGCGAGTGAGAACCCTGTTCTGTTCTTGGGTCCTTGCTGAGCATATCCTAATCTAACCTTACCTGCAATAAATCATTATTTTAAAAAGTCAGCATCTGGCTCTGGTGTTTCTTCCTATCAGTTCAAAAGATATGGCTCATTAGATGCCAGAGACCCCACATCCATCAGCGAGGTGGGGGGCTGCTTCTTGTCTGACCTTCCTTATCCTGGGTCCCCTACAGCCCTCTATCCAGGGCACACATTTTTAAGTACATGGGCCAAATCCGTTTAATCCTTGCAGTAACTCTGTAAAGTAGGTTTGTATTCTTTGAGATTCAGAGAGAGTACCTTGCCTAAAGTCACACGGCTGGACAACTTCTCTATCCAAGTAATGCTTTCTGGAGGAAGAAGTATGTACCTCGGGGCTAACTCTGTCTTCCCATCCCCCTTTGTCTGTCTATCCATCCATCTGTCCCCAGTATCACCACCTCTCAAATGTTTATTGATTTCCTACTATGGACCAGGCACTGTTTGAAGAACTTAGGATACAGCTGTGAGCGAGACCAAGTCCCAGGTGTGGCCGACATTCTGGAGATAACTAAGATTTACTGAACACTTACCACATGCCAGAGACTTCCTGAGCACTTTGCAATCGTTATTTCAGTTAATCTTTAGCCAGCCCTTGGAGCAAGTACTGATACCACTGACTTCTGGTTTACGTGTGAGGAAACTGAGGCACAGAGAGGGTAAGTAATTGGCCATGGTCACGGCTGGCAGGTGGCAGGGTTGGGACTAAGTCTAAAGTGGTCCTGTTCTTCTTCTATAGCTCCATCTCACGGAGACTAGCCGGAACTCAGGGCCCAACTTCTGGGTCTGATGCAAAGGATTAAGGTAATGGTGAGAAGTCAACAGCTCTCTAACAACTGGAAGGCTCATGGAGGACTGTCAGCTCAATTATCCATTCAGGACCCTCCCTACCTTTAAATACCTTTATCAATAGGCCCTAGGGACCAGTGCTGTGGCATAGTGGGTAAAGCCGCAGCCTGCAGTGCCAGCATCCCATATGGGTGCCGGTTGGAGTCCCAGCTGCTCCACTTCCAATCTCTCTGCTGTGGCCTGGGAAAGCAGTAGAAGACGGCCCAAGTCCGTGGGCCCCTGCACGCATGTGGGACACCCAGAAGAAGATCCTTGTTCCTGGTTTCTGATTGGCCCAGCTCCAGCCATTTTGGCCATTTGGGGAGTGAACCAGCGGATGGAGGACCTCCCCCTCCCTCCCTCTTTCTCTGCCTTTCAAATAAATAAATAAATCTTTAAAAAAAAAGATAGGCCCTAACAGTCCTCCCCCTGCCCTGTCCACTGTCCATCACTACACCCACCTCTCCCTGGGGTTGGGCCCCACGCTCAACAGCAGCCTGGAGAAATCATGTCTTCCCGTCTTGGCCCTGGCTGCCATTGCTCTTCAGTGAATCTGGGAGCCCCGTGTGAAGCTGCAGGCCTCCAGCCACTCAGCACTTCCCCTGGGAACCCAACCACTATACCCCATCAACCAAGAAAGCTAGTCTGACACAGATGTGTCCTTTTAGATTTTTCTCTGCTCAACACCGTGTTGCCTTTGCTTCAGTTTGGGACTAAGATTGCAGGCAAATTTCAGGTAGAACGAGCATTCTGGAATACTCAAGAATTAGAGATTTCCAGGGAAGAACCACTGGCTATCTATTCAGTGCCTTTAACATCCTCTGCTATCATGGAGGCTCTCTGAAGTGAATCTGGGCAACCTAAGAGACTTCCAAGATTTTGTTTTAGAAAACAAACAAGACCTCATTCACCTCACCACTCACAAACATACCTAAGTACTGGTTTCAGAATTTTATCATCACCCAGAAGCTAATAACAGAGTAAGTGCTCACACACCACAGCTGGGTGGTGGCAAGATTCTAGCAGACTTGACACACTACAGACTGGCTCTTGCACGAAAACATTCACATGTGAGGCTACTTTTCTTTAAAGTCTGTAAAAGCAACCTCTATTACAGAGAATATTACAGAGAACGGCCAGCAAGGATCATCTTTGGTACCCAGATCTCAAGAGTTTCATTCAAGAACAAAGAACCTAGTGTATCTACTGGCTGACAGGTAGAAGGCCAACACCATGCTTTCTTGGACTAGCCAACCCCTCTGGCAAGGTTACTCTACAGAAAACCTTGCAAAGGAGAATCAGGGCTTGGTGACGCAATTTCAGACACAACGACTGGCTGCGAAAAAAGGAACTGTGGAGTTGCATGCGTGAGATGCGTAGCTGCATAAGCGAGAGTTTCCAGGCCCTTCACATCAGACCAGTTCAGCAATCACAGAAACCTGTTTGCTCCCTCTAGTCCTAGAAAGAACACCTAGGCCCTGGTCTCTTCAACTTGACTGTGCCAGGGCCTCCTACTCTCTGCTCTATGCACAGAGCCCAGAAACCCAGCATTATCAAACTCTGAATTATCGAAACATTTGTTTCCACAGAATGAAGGGCTAAGGAATTTCCAATTCACAACCACACAGTGGCTTTTCTTCCTGTAGGAACTGCCAGATTATTATTATTATTTGGAGGGAAAACAGTGCAGTGCTATAAAAAGTAAGTTCTATTGAAGAAATCCAGCAGTACCAAAAATCCAAACGTATTTGATTACATTTGGCTTGGGATCAATTAACTTCTCATCCATAATAGCTGGCACTTATGAGTGCTTACTCTGAGTTGTGCATGCTGTAGTCATTGCTTTACATGCACGTTCCGATTTCTTTCAAACCCTATGCTTTCAATATTATGTGCTAGGCTCTTCTAGGAACTAGATACACAGAAAAGCCTTTGTGCTCAAGGAATTCATACTTCAGTGATACATCATCTTTATAATGTTGCATCTTCATTACAACTCTGTAATGTAGGAATGAGAGAAACTTAGGCTGACAGAGGATTAAGAAATTGCTCAAAGCCTTGGTTTTCCAAGGCTGCCAGCAGGTGGCCAGGGCTTCCCACACATAGCATAGTGTCCCTTTAACAAGGCTGTCAGTTCCTGATTGATTGGTTGGCACTTTATAATGAATAGCTGTTTGTGAATTTCAAATCTAGTCTCAACTTATTGATCATCACGTAATGGAAATGCTCTCTCTACAAGAAATGCTTATATTTAACTCTTGACACTTTTGATAAAGGACCCCAGCTCTCATGATCATACCCACACAGCATCGATTTATACTCACCGTAGAATAAATGGATGATGTGCTGGAAACCAAGGAGAGCGAGGATCCGTGAACTATAAAAAAAAAAAAAGAGAGAAAAAAAAAAAAAAACAAGAGAAAAGGTGAATTGTTCAGGTGCCTACTGTGCAACCAAAGAAAGGGGCAGCGGTGGGCAGTGGAGGAGCCGGGGGTAAGAAGTCAGCTGGACACCACAGTAATCAAAATGCCTTCATCTCACCTGGACCCAACTTTCTGGGCTTGGTTATAGCTCAGTCGCAAATAACAAATAATTCCCTAAGAAAGTCACCTTTTGCTAGGAAAGTTGCGTTTTTCTCTCCCTTATAAATTTTTTGTTTTGACTGTCAATATAATATAAAATTACTGGATAAGTCTTCAAATAGAGTGACATGTTAAAAAGCACATTCACTGTCCTAACCTGCAGTGACCTACAAGTTCACCACCCAAGGATCAGCCCGAGTGACCATTCCAACATCTGCCGCTTTTTTCTAACGTATTCCTCTAGGGTAGAGGTGGTGTTGTATGTATGTTTCACACCCTGTGAACATCTGTCACTTGGATACGCAAAAAGATGAGCTGATTGCTTTGAACCTAAGTAGCCGTTGGCCATTTACTTCACTTAGATGACCATGCAGCAGAATATCTGTTCAGAAAACATACCCTGGGGCCAGCATTGTGGTGTAGCAGGTTAAGCTGTTTCCTGGGACAACGGCAGCCCACATGAGTGCCTGTTGCTCCATTTAATATCCAGTTCCCGGCCGGCGCCGTGGCTCACTAGGCTAATCCTCCGCCTTGCGGCGCCGGCACACCGGGTTCTAGTCCCGGTCAGGGCACCGGATTCTGTCCCAGTTACCCCTCTTCCAGGCCAGCACTCTGCTGTGGCCCGGGAGTGCAGTGGAGGATGGCCCGAGTACTTGGGCCCTGCACCTCATGAGAGACCAGGATAAGTACCTGGCTTCTGCCATCGGATCAGCGCGGTGCGCCGGCCGCAGCGCGCCAGCCGCGGCGGCCATTGGAGGGTGAACCAACAGCAAAAGGAAGACCTTTCTCTCTGTCTCTCTCTCTCACTGTCCACTCTGCCTGTCAAAAAAAAAAAAAAAATCCAGTTCCCTGCTAATGCACCTGGGAAAGCAGTCGAAGATGGCCCAAGTGCTCTAGGCCCACCCACGTGGGAGACCAGGATGGAATTGCTGGGGAGTCAACTAGTGGATGGAAGCTCTCTCAAGATCGATCGATCAATCTCTCTCTCTGACTCTTCGTCTGACTTAAAACAAATAAATCTTAAAAAAAAAAGGGGGGGGAAGGAAAATGTACCCACAGAAACATACAGATTCTTCATCTGATCTCTAGCTTTTCTACAAAGTAAGAACCAACGGCCATCTGCCCTCTATTTCAAGCTGGTATCTTCTGATGTGGGACCACTGTTGTGTATACCCTTAGCACCCCTTCCTGGCCAGCGAGTGCCGACATCTTGTTATCTGTTCTAATTTCTAGGCAGTTTTTTCTAGGACTGGGTATTTGGCTGCCTTCTCCTTTTGGGAACCAGGTTTTGTGCTTTTCGGCAACCACGTGACACCCTGTTGAAAGAAAGAAACATTCCTGCGTTAAGACTCTAGAGGCCTTTCAGCTGGGAAGATTTCCTGATGTGAGTGCAAGGCCTCTACTCCCACACAGTGTTGGAACCCGCGGCCTGAAAGCGGGAGGCTGCAGAATAACCTCCCACGTGTCCTCAGTGGCATTCGCCTACCACCCAAGAAGTGAAATCAGCTTGGATTAGCAGTGGGCAGAAGCTACCTGCTAGCCAGGCACCACCCCATTGTCTTCCCACCTGCCCGCCCTGTCTTCCTTCATGTGCTCCTGATACACGGAGACCTGCGCCTCTCTCCCAAGCATGCTCTAGGAGGTCCACCTGCAGTCTCTGCCCACATGGTTCTTTCTGCCTCGGACATGTTTACCCAGACACCACCTGCCCAAATCCGGCTCGGCACAAACGATGACGTTCCCACGGAGCCTTCCCTCATTTCCCTGACTACCACCTGCATGGGCCTCCTCCTCCTCCTCCCTCTCAGGGCTTCCTGCTTCCTTTAAGAGCCTCCCCACAAAGCTTCAGGACAGCTATTACAGCCTTCCTCTATTAGTTGCTGTCCACTGCTTTGAGGCTGTCCCCACTCAGTCACTCACATCCATTCTCGTTAGTAATGGCCTGAGTTCTAGTTCTCTTCTTCCTTTCACCCACGACCAATCTGACTCATGCTCCATGAAGCATCATTTTAAGGGGCTAGTGTTGTGCTGCAGCGGGTTAAGCCACCTGCAATGCTGGCATCCCATATTGGAGCTCCGGTTCAAGTTATGGCTGCTCAGCTTCCGATCCAGCCTCCTGCTAATGCACCTGGGAAGGCAGCGGGTGATGGTCCAAGTACTTAGGCCCCTGCCACCCACATGAGAGACCTGGCTGGAGTTCCTGGCTCCTGGTATTGGCCTGGCTCAGACCTGGCTGTTGTGGCCATTTGGGGAGTAAATTAGCAAGATCTCCCTCTGTTTCCCTCCCCGCTTCCCCTGTCACTCTACCTTTCAAATAAATAAATGAATAAATCTTTGAAAAACTTAGTGTAAGGTGCTGCTGGCCAATAATGACTTTCAGTGCCACTATGTCCACAATAGCAGCCTCACAGTCCAAAAAAACAAGCTGCTTTAGCGTCATGCTACAGGCAGTAGTGGGGAGATTATGTTGGAGGCCAAGTTGGGTGAAGAGATGTGGGTCATGTGTCAATCACACTTACACGTGGTTGCCGGGGGCTGGCTCCAGGAGGCCTGCACAGGGCTGCTGGCAAAAGGAGGGTTTTTCCTGTTTCATTGCTACATCTCATACATATAAACTTCCTGACACAGCTTCAGCTATAACTCAGTGCAACCGTGGGCCACAGGCAGAGAACAGCGCATCTGGCAGGCTTAAGGTAGAGGCAATTAATTTTCTCTGTAATTACTCCCCTCCCTTCATAAATAGCAAAGAGCAAGGCTATGGTCCAAAGAAAGAGATGACTTGATCTCCAGCATCAACCCCAAACTGCATGTGGCTCTCCTTCAAGTGAACTGAGCCAAGTCAGAGCCTGGGTTCTGCGGTGTGGATACTTCCAGACAACAAAATGCTCATGACAGTTGAACAGCTACAGCATATCATGCCATGTTCCTCCTTATATCTGTACCTCCAAAACCTTACAGCCACAAGAAACCAGAGGATATCCAAGTAGCTCGGCCACCTTCGCCATGGAGGAATCTGAAACCCAGAGAGGTTCAATGACCGGCTTATGGCCATACAACAGGATCTGCTGACCATACGTCTTGAGACCCTTGCGTGATCACGTTTATGGTTATTTTATTTTATTTACTTCTATTTTAAAAAGTCCGTTGGTGTCTTTTAGCATGATTTGCTAATTCCTCCCACCCCCTCACCCCTGCCCCCAGGTAATCATCACATAAGCATAAACTGGGACTGATGTTTGAGAAGAAAAATGCTTTAGGTAGGGGTGAAACTACGAGACAGAATGAAGCAACCAAGTGCTTCTGATGTTATATCAGGACATCCCCTAGAGACAGACAGACACATAGACACACAGACACACACACACCACGTATGGCTTCATATTAACTAACACATCTTTCACTTGTGCTACTGCTTGGAGTGATCATCATCACAGAAAATTTGCACATAACAGTACCAGACTCGGCAGGAGTTTCTACTCCAGGTTACAATGAGTAACTGAGCATGGTTAAATGAGGGGTGGGTGCTCAGGGCAGTGTTAGGACACTGGTTGGGATGCCCACATCACATAGTAGAATGCCCAGGTTTGTGTCCTGCCTCAAACCCCAACTTTGGCTTTCTGCTCATGTACACCCTGGGAGGCCCATGAGGATTCAAGTCCTAGGGCCCATGTGAGAGCCCTGCATTGAGTTCCTGGCTCCTAGGCATTTGGGGAGTGAACCAATAGATGGCATGGGATATCTCTCTCTTAAATAAATAAACAAACATTTTTTAAAAAAAGGGTGGTTAAGTGATATGACCAAGCACACACAGCCAGGCAGGAGCAGAGAGAGTGTGAATCTCAGTGCGCTCTAGTTCCTGTAGCACAGCAGGATGCTATGGAAGGAGCTACGGAGGAGGTGATGCTGTTATTACTGCCAGCAGACCGCCCTGCATCTCAACCAGACAAGGAAGCACAGCAAATGAGGGACCCGAGCTTGCCCCAGACAGCCCAAAGAAACAATCCAGCTGAGACAAAGCAGGACCGACAGAAGGCTAGGAAGCCAGAGCTGAGAACCCACTTCTGGCTGCATGAAGGCTTTGACTCACTTCTCCCTCATTTTTGCCATTAAGCAAAATGGGGACGATAATGGCCCTTGGAAAGAAGGACGTGCTATAACATGACAGTTATACCGACAGCTACCACTGAGTGAGCACTTACAAGAAGGCCCTTTCAAAGCCATTTGCTACACGCTTTCCAGGATTCATCTGAGCTAATCTTCACATCAATCCTCTGAGGCAGGTGCAATCACTTCCCACATTTTAGTGAACAGGAAGCAGGCTGAGCAGGGTCAAGTCCCTCACCCAAAGTCACGTTGCCAACAGGGGAGGGGCTGGGATTTGACTCATGACTGTAACTCAGGTGCCAGAAACACAAGGGAGAAGCGATACAAGGTTTCCTGTTCTGCCCTGTGAATCCACATAAGCTGACAGGTGGGGGGATTGTCGAGGGGTGTTTTTCCTGAGTTGCAGACTGCATTAGCTCTTAGTCACGATTGGTTAAGTTACAGGGTAGTTTTCCTCCAAAGATATCCAGTTTCAAAATGCCTCAAGCATCTCCCTAAATGTGTGCTATTAAAGTTGACTTTAAGACAGCATAATGCATCTGATGCAAATTAATTTACCTGAAATAGCTCTGAATCTGTGCATCTGGGCTATGCCTCTACCTAATCTACATATTGATGATACCTGCTTCCCTCAAAATGGAAAGTGCTAATTAAATTGCACAAAAACCTCACACAAATCCTTGGGCTAATTTTTCCCAAATTTCTATCCTGCTTTATGGCCTACGATACACCTGACTATTTGGTTCTGTTTGGTCTAAATGTGAGATAATGAATTTTTTCCCAAATGTTCCTGCAACAATGGGAGTTTATAAACGCCACAGAAAACAAAATAAAGTCTTCATGCAAAGGAATTAGAAATATCAATCACACAAACCTTATTTTGTTTTTCTGATGGGATAGCATTAGAAGAAATAGAAGCAATCTGATGCCAAGTTCCCCAGCAGACAAAAATGCTACGTGTTCACAGTGTGTTGACTGTGGCCCCTGTCCCTTCCCCCAAAGCCTCTGTGCTTCAGCTCCTTGTCACCGTGAGTCATTAGGTGGACAGAAGTCTAGACACTGCTTGTGGGCAAGCACTTTTTATCAATGTCATCGTGACAGCCCAGATTTTCCACAGTTGGGCTTCCTGACAGCTTGATGCCAGACAGCATGAATAACAGCTCTCCGACGAAGGCACTGTAAAAGCCCCGGACCTCTGGGAGACGGTGTGTGCTTGTCTGGACAAGCTGCCGTCCTGAATGTGGCTCGCTCAGGGGTGCACATGACAGAGCAGATGAACACAGTGCAGGACATACTCTGAGTGCGAGTGATCACCAGGACATACTCTGCGAGTGATCACCAGGGAGCTTGAACCTCCTCTGCCACTTTCAGCTCAATACTTCCTCCACCGTCACTGCCTGGCGCGGTTAAACCATTGACTTCTTGCTTTTAAATCTAGCAAAACGTGCCCAAGAACGCAGGTTCTTCTCCGGCTTAGTCCCCTGTCCCAGCAGGTTCCATATATGGATTTACAGACATGCATCTGTTCCCTGGATCTCACTGAATGCAAAGAATCCATAAATCAGGGGGAGAGTATTAAGTAGTCAAGAATGGGGCAACTGCTCTGTAACTAAATTCTTTCAAACCTCTGTGAAAAACAACACTAGACCAAAGCAGATGCATCTGTCTTAGACTTCTCTCCTTTAGGACTGGCGATTTCCTAAACAATCCTGAGTTCCTTTGTTCTTTCTAACCAACCAGGAGGGTACTGGGCCTGTTTCTCTCACTTCATACAGGAACTGGGAGCAGAGGAAAGTACCTATAATTTGCCTCCTGCCCCAACATTGTTTTATCACTGGTGGAAAAGGCACAGACAGATGGCCCGCATCCTGGGCTTCACTTGCCCCCAGAGTGCCCAGCCTCTGGCTGGGGACTTTGAACTGCCAGTGCCGAAGCTGTGTCTACAGGCTATGACATCTGACAACACTACTGCATTAACATTTGCCTGGCAGGTTTTTCTCAGTTCTCACACTTTCAGGAGCTAACTACGACTATCATTCCTATTTAATCAGTGAAAAACAAGCAGAGGTCCAGAGAGGTGAAGCAACTTGTCCAAGATGACATGCCTAAGAAGCGGGGGGGGGTGGGGGGTGGGGGTGGGCACTGTGGTGTAGTGGGCTAAGCCACTACTTGGGACACCTGCATCCCATATTGAGGTTCTGGGATCAACTCTCACCCCCAGCTTCCAATCTAGCTTCCTGTGGATGTGCCTTGCAGGTAGCAGATGATGGCTCAAGTACTTGTACCTCTGTCACCCACATGGGAGATTCAGATGGAATTCTGGGCTCTTGGCTCTGGCCTGGCTCAGCCTTGGTGGTTGTGGGCATTTGGGGGAGGGGCCCAGCAGATGGGAACTCTCTTTCAGTATTTCACACAAGTAAATAAAAATGATCAGCAAATAAACGTCAATCATTAAAGAAGTAGTGGGACTGGGCCCAAGTTCTGCTAATCTGGCCCATAATCTTGATCACTGGTCATTGAGAGTTGCCTCTAACACAAGGGAAGCGAAAATGACTCACGAAGACGCAGAGTGGCCACAGAAATTGTCCCCCACAATTCTGATGAAAATGAATGAAACAGAACCCATCCCAAAATAATTGGTTAGCAATCAACGAAGGAAAAGTGCATCACTGAACGCAATAAACTTAAACTGGTGCTTGAAGGGCTGGCATTGTGGCACAGCAGGATAAGCTGCTGCTTTGGGCACCCGCATCGTATAGTGGAGGCCTACTTTCATTCAGCTTCCTGCCGATGCATCCTGGGAGGCGGCAGATGATCAAGTGCTTGGGCCCCCGCCATCCACATGGAAGACCTGGACAGAGTTTTGGGCTTCTGCCTTCTGGCTTTGGCCTGGCCCAGCCCTAGTTGCTGCTGGCATTTGGGGAGTGAACCAGTAAATGAAAGCTCTCTCTTTTCTCTGTGTGCCTTTCAAGTAGAAGAAAATAAATGATGAACATTCAAAAATGAAAAAAAACAAATAGAACAAGTTTTAAAAAAAATAGCAGTGCTTGAGAAAACGAGTTTTGGAACAGAGCAGCAAGGCAGGGTTTCCCAGGCCTGCAAGCGATGAGGGTAAGTGTGGCAGCACAGGGAGATGAACCCCCCGTGACACACCCTGCCAAGATGGGGTGCTGCTGGCTGAGCCTGAACTCACAAGTACGTGCCAAGAAGCTGTGGCCTATGTCCAGGAGAGAGAAGCCTGGGGTGCAGCTCAGTCAGTGCTGAGGGTCATCAATGTTTTATCAGCAGCTCTTTCCTACAGTCCTGCTAGGTTAGTTAAGGGTCAGACCTTACTAATCCAAGTTCCTTCTCCCTAACCCCTGGAGGAGGCGGGGAAGCTGGAAGCACTATCAGGTAGATCCTCTAGTCAGCCAAGTGGACGGAGCATGGAAGACCACTCACCAGGCCGGCTCACCTGGGAGCTGGTGAGTCTTCTTACCTTCTTCAAACCCATCTCGGAATGAGCCTGAACGGCTCATGGTTCTGCTCTTCTCGTCCAAGGACATGGAGCTGTTTCGGAAGCGGCTGTCGGTATATGGGTCGTACTGCCCGTCAGCATTGGAGAGGCTGTGTGTCCTCAGCATGGTTGGGTTGGACAAGCTCATCTGGGTGACAGTGGTGGGGCTTGCTGGAATGACAGCCACAGAAGCAGAAGGTTAGAAATTCATAAATGTGCTCTCATCTCAAATGGGGACAGAGAGATTGCTTATTGTCAGTCGTACGTGTCCCCGCCAGCTTCTCTCGCTTGTCTATTTCCGCAAAGGTAGTCACATCAGCATTTGAGTTATACACTTAGCATGAAAAACGAGGGAGGAAAGGCGGGTCAGTTCCAAAGCCAGGCTCTGGGCCTCCGCTTTCCAAGTTGGCGCGTTCAGGCAAGCCAGTGTCCCCCTTCCAGGCATGAGCTAATTACTCCCTGGGCTCATCTGGAACAAGTCTCTCGAAAGCCAAAAGCCCAAAATAGTCCAACGAGGCTTTTGATCAGATGGGAAGCATTTGTGCATGACAAGAATCTCCTGCCTCAAAGAGTTACGGCTGCAAAAGAACAATATGAACCCAGGTCTCCCTGCCTCGGCTGGCAGTGTCTCACAAAGGTGTACCAAGAGCTTCAGTGCAAAGGGGGTTTCCTATCAAAAATCCTGCTTCTTTGTAATACAATATAACATTTGCATTTACCCATTTAATTGACCAAAAAGGGAAGGTCAAACCTTTCCCAGTTGCAAGCCACACGTATCCTTAATGGCTGAGTTCATTATTTACAATATTAGCGAAGGGCCGCCTCCCTAAAGAGCCAAATAAGACTGGAAAAGATCTTCCCCATCCATTAGTCCTCCCAGGCTCAGCCCCCAGCCTGCCACCTTCGTGTAATCTCTGCCAATCATTCCAGCCAGCACGCATCTTTCCTTCTTCTAACTGCATGCAATACTTGCTATATTCCATTTTTATGTCATTTTATATGAAGCTTGGATTGTTGTCTTTTACCCTATTTTATGAACTGGTGTGGGTGTGTTTCTCTCTCTGAAAAAGAATCCACTGACATGCCTGAAGAGACTGTCCCTCATTCTTCTCCTTTCCCCACTGTGCTGGTCAAAGCACTAGCCAGGGGCAAGCAGTCCCAAGAATATTTATTCAATCAAAACTGAACTTTTATTTCCAACTTAATAAAGCAATGAGGATGACCAAACATGGAAAATGCTGCAAAACCCACTTTTCAAGAGCGGACGGTTTGCTCTTTGCTGGAACTTTCCCTACATCAACCACGTAAAGAGAATGACTGATCGGCACATCACAAAGGTTGCTACTCTTTCTCCCGCTATCCATCTCGTAATCAAATGAGATTGTTGCAAGCTGATGAGGTTGGAGAAGGATGTGATCACATGTGTGTGAATAACTACGGATTGACCTTCAACACAAGATCACCTCTGTCTCACGGAGCTGTTCGGCGCACCTGATGACTAGAGGGTACTCACCGAGCTGGGAAAAGTTGAATCTCGTTCCGGAGGGAGAAGTCACACTGGAGCCGGAGGAGAAAGGGGAATTGGCAGCAGTGTCCTGGAGGCCTCCAGCAGAGTGGGACCGTAACCATTCTTTTGCGTCTTCTTGTGTGCGAAGCTGGGAGGCGGGAGTATACCTGGACAGACAGAAATCAAGCCGGAATCAGCTATGAACAACATACTGAAATGAGTCCTATGGAGCTGATGATACACATATAGAAAGAAAAATAGACGTCCAAAGATGATTTAAAAAAATAAAAACCACATCCATACACACCCCCAAACTCAGGAAGCGTCTCAAACCTTTCCTGTGACTTGGCTGTGTTTGGGGAAAATTACAATCCCTTTCAGTGTGGAGGGAATGCGTAAAGGGAGAAAGACTGCTAAATGCTCCAGAGAACCGTCACTGGGCGTAACTGTAACATGTTCGTTCATGACAGTGTCATGTCAAAGCCCCATCTCGACAGCACTGCAGCAACACAAAGAGCTGCTGTTGGAGCTCCGAGGCCGTGTTCACTAGGCTAACCCGTGGCCTCTGCATTCTGGAATGCCAGGAAGGGGCCGTGAGTCACTGAGTGTCAGAAAGCAAACACGCAGAGGGAAGTCCAAGGACATGGAGACTTAGAGCGGTTGCTGCTATCCGCAAGGCTTCAATAAAGCAGCCTGCAGTCACTGGGCTTCCCGGGAGAGGGTCTTCAGAAGTCACGTGGTCTGTCTCCCCATTTATTCCAAAACATATCTCAAAGTGATTTATTTATTGCACAGCTACAATGTACCCGGAGCCCTTAGGGGCATTCTCTCTCTCTCTCTCTCTCTCTCTCTCTCTCTCTCTCGGAAGCCTCAGACTCACTCAGCAACACAGAGAAGGTCCCCATTTCACATTCAGGGAAGGTCCAGAGCCTGCCCTGGGTCACAGAGCTGAGATTTCCCTTCGGGATTGTCTGATTCCCAAGTCCGTGCCCTTTTCGTGAAGCCATTGGGCTGCATATGGAGTGTCTGAAATGCCTAGGTGGCCAGGATACCCTTTACTTGGGTATTTCAGAGGCTACTGGGTACTGAGTGGACAGACACTTCTGTCAGTGTGTGGCTACTGAATTCGGGTGTGCATGGATGGAGAGGGCTGGACAGGGGGCGTCTGAGTGAGAGGCAGCACAGATCAGCAGAATCAACCCTGGCAATCAGTGGGGTGAGAGAGCTCGCAGCCAGAGCGCCCTCCCATATAAGAGGCAGCATAGAAAGGTCTCTCCCTGTGTGCTTGTACTGTACTTTGTGTTCCTGCAACTTTCCAGGACACGGTGGGGGCCTGAAAAGAGCCCCTCACACATCCTTATCCTGAATTTTTAAAAACCAGCTTTAAAAAAAGCCAGAGTGACAGAACTTTGATAAGCGAGATCTGCCACAGAAATAGACCCAGGATTTCAAAATGCTAACATCTGGCGGCAAACTCAAGCCCCAGGTCTGACTTACTCGAGGCCATGTCATTGTTTAAAAATCCAGCTTAGGGGGTCAGCTCTGTGGCACTGTGGGTTGACGCCCTGGCCTGAAGTGCCGGCATCCCATACGGGCACTGGTTCAAGACCCGGCTGCTCCACTTCTGATCTAGCTCTCTGCTATGGCCTGGGAAAGCAATAGAAGATGGCCCAAGTCCTTGGGTCCCTGTACCCCTGTGGAAGACCCAGAAGAAGCTCCTGGCTTTGGATCAGCGCAGCTCCAGCCATAGTGGTCAACTGGGGAGTGAACCTTGGATGGAAGACCTCTCTCTCTCTCTCTGCCTCTCCTGTGTAACTCTGACTTTCAAATAAATAAATAAATCTTTAAAAAAAAAAAAAATCCAGCGTGGGTGCTGACACGCCACCCTCGTAAGCACGAAGATGCTCTTAAGTACAAAAGGCCTTGCCAGCTCCCTGGATGTCTGCCGGGAGACGTCAACACTTTCCTTCTTGGATTCCTCGAGGTGGCTTTACTCAGAGCTCCCGCTGAACAGGAGCACTGATACCTACCTCACATTCCCACCCGGACTGCCCTTCACCTGATGAGCCACAGACACACAGGACAGCAATGAGACATTTCATTCCAAGTTCCATCTTCTGGGAAAGCACTTCACGCTGAGTGCACGGGGAAGCCGATGCTACAGAGCAGGGGTTGGGACAGCAGATGTGACAGCGGCAACCATGAGAAGGCAATCACGGGGAGGTGTTAGCAAATGGAAGTTCCTCTGGCCACCCAAGTGACGTGGGTGGTGAGAGCAATAGTGACTTGTAGCATCTGCTTTTACCAGGATGAGTGCTGAAAACGAGCCTAAGCCATGACTTGCACGTGTGGGAGGTCACTGCTTCCTGGCAGTCTTTCCATGGTCAGCCAAAAGCAGCTGCACCTGTATCTTGGTGGGCATGGAGAGCCGACCCAATTTTCGATGAGGTTATTTAGACAGGTGCAAAGTACCTGTCCTCAGCAATTGTTTACAGACAAGAAAGATAAATATTTTCAATTTAGAGGAAATACTTCTCTCCTCGTTTGCTCTGGTCCTAGCTGACAAGGTAGCGTGCGTAAGTCATGGCCTTTCTCTTGGAAGACAGCCGTGTGGACAGGATGGCCGTGGTGAGGAGCTCAGTGATAAAACCCAGCGGCCCCAGAAGCAGCAAGGGGCTGCTCCTTGGGCTTGCCCAGGGATGGTTTTCACGAGATGGTTTTACCACGCTTAGCCTGAATAAGCACAGCCCCTGCTCAAGCAAACAAGCCAACAAATGGAGATGAGAACAAGAAGGTGCCAGGGAGCCATCATCCACAGGGTCCCACTGCAGTGACCAAAGCAGGGGCCCCAGACCAGCCTGCACCCCCAACCAGCCACGACAGAGCCACACAGCCAAGCTCCGAAGCCAGAACAGACGCACGGAGGAAGCACAGATACCTGAGTCCTTTCTTAGGCAAAGTGTTCCTATCAAGGTGCGGGTCACTGTAGGAAAGTTAAAACAAAAATGAGAACTTGAGAGAAGCACAAGGGAGGCGAGGGGGAGAGGGCTGGAGCCTGGGGGGAGAGACTCACATGGTCGGGGAGAGTTCCCTTATCCAGCGAGGCATGCAAACAGCCACAGCCACAGCGAACAAGACACCCAGTCCTCAGCCCCAGCTGGCGCCGGGGCGGACGTTACCCCAAGCCCAAGCGGGAGCCCCAGCTTTCCAGGGACCCACAGGGCTCCTCCACCTCCGGCCCTTTCCCTAAATGCCACGGGCGGTGACTTCAAGTGGGAGAGAGGACTCGTTGGAGAGTTGAGAGGCCAGCAGTCTGCATATTTGGAATTCATCTGGAACGAAGTAAATTCCAGGTCCCTCTCGATTCCTGCAGCCTTCCCTGGGCGTTGCTGGGAGCTGAGCCCCAGGCCTGAGTCAGGCGTGTCACAACTTGCTGACTGATAAAGTCAAGGCATTTGGATTTCCAAAGAACAAGGGTTTAAAGGCTTGCTTTGCGAGTCTCACAAAAACAAGGTTTTTGCTGTTGATGGGGTGAGGAGGGTTTTTGTCTTTTTTTTTCCCTAGCATGAAACAACATCTGCTTGCTGTGTTTGGCCAAGCCGTCCCGCCCCCGCGAACTTAAGGTCAAGACCCCTCCCTGAGGCCCACCCACAGCTGGAGGCCAACACAGGCTGCTTCCTTCGTCAGGTCTCCCCCACTGCACACACTCTCTCTCATGATCATTAGAGGAACTGGGCACACAGAACACAACAGCCTGCAAGGCACACCGAGCCCACAGCAGCCAGGCCCTTGGAGAGGGACAAGAGCCAGCTGCACGGGGAGTGGGGCGGGGAGGCAGAGGTGAGGCCGGCTGAGAGCAGGTGGTGGATCAGTGCCGGGCTGTGGTGGGAAAAAGGAAGGAGAGGCAGGAAGCTGCAGGGCAGGGGGGTACGGACAGGAACATGCCACAGGGGGCCACAGGAGATGCCAGGGAGAGCTCCGGCCGCCCAAGGTCAAGTGCAGGGTTTGAGGCCCAAAGGGGCCGGCGCAGGCCCACCTCTCCTTGGGCTTTAGTGGGCAACGGAGCAGACATTCACTGGCATGTCGGGGTGCAGACCACACTAGAGCCACAAACACAAGCAGAAGCCTCGGGCCAATAGCCTTGCAGAAAATCATCGGGCTCCACGAAGCGGGGGGGCCGAGGAGGCCTGGGGCTTGGTGGGTGCGCGGCCTACGGTGTCATTACCTGTCCTGTTTCCTGGGCAAGGTACTTCTGCAGAACTTAGGGCTAGCAGCAGGGGAAGAGAGAGGGCTAGAAGTCCAGGCAGGTAGAAAACAAGAGAGGGAACATTAGACTGGAAGCAAGGAAAGGCGTGGTTACATACAGTGATTCGAACATTCTTCTCATTCCCAGGGCTGACCCTGGCTTTCTTCCCTGTGTGCACACGCTCACTACTGCGGTGAAATCCGGAGCTCGGGGGATAATTTTAGGTTCTCGATTTCCCACCACGATGGCCAGCAGGCTTTTCAGGAAGGGGTGTGTCATGATAACCACGGACTCTACCAAGCATGCAATGACGTGGACACGCTCTGTGGTGGCCGGGGGCCACCAATTGGGCTCATACAAGCCAAGAGGAGGGGGAGAGAAGCAGTTGACAAACAGACGGAGCAGTGGAAGGATTTCAAAGGCCGAGGGCCACTTCAAACTGTGGCATAGACCCGCCCCGAAGGGACTCTGGGCAGCTGTAACCACCGAGGATAACCACAGAGGAAAAGACAGAGAACAGGAAGCAGAGCTTAATTCCATCCCAAACTGGCTTCCCCGTGAAAGACAGCAGTCATCGCAATGAGAGCAATGTCCCTGGCAGAGGTTAATTAGCCCTGGCGCTTGCAACCGGAACCTTTTTACGTCTGGGAGGGGGGCTTTCCCAGAGCGGGTGAGGGGTGGGGTTCGGCACAGCACCGACCTTTCTGACAGTGTGGTCTTCACACTGTTGGTTCTGACAAAGGGAGTCAAGGAGTCGTCCTTGGAGGAGCTGAGCAGGCCCGTGGAGGAGTTGTGGCTCAGGCCCCCTCCGCTGCCGAGGGAGATGTCAATGGACTCACAGCTGGTGTGGAGGCTGCTGACGGACTGGAAGCCCAGGCCGTCCTTGCTGACGGCCGAGGAGCTGCTGGCGCTGGTGCCCCACGTGAGGCTGTTGGAGGGGCCCGAGTGGGCGGAGCTGGGGCTGGAGGCTAGAGGAGACTGGTTGAGGTCCATGTTCTTGCTGTACAGAGGGCTGCTGCCGCCGCTGCTCAGGACGCCGCTGCCCGAGGGAGAGTCCAGGGAGCCGTGCTGGGTCATGGTGGCGTGAGGGTTCGAGATGACCACCGAGTTTTTCATGTTTTCAGCCGTGGCGATGGGCCCTTGCTTGGTAGGCTTCCCACCGAAGAGTCTGTGGAGAGACAAAGGGCTGTGCGGGTCGGTCTCCCAGCGCAGAGGGGCGCCGAGAAGGGTGGAGGGTCCCCGGGCAGGGAGACAGGCATTGGCACCGGGGTGGCTAGCGGCCCTCCACGGGGACAGGGCAGCCGGAAAGCGGCCCCAATACGGCTGTGTTGCTAGGCGCCTTCTTCAAGTTCTAGACTGTGGCTGAGCCTTGGGCTCTATCCAGGCCAAAGGTGATGGGGGCTGATCATCTACAGGCCTGTATGCTCTAGCCCAAGATCTTATTCCCCCCCATCTTTTTTTTTTTTCCAAATGGCTATACAGAAAAGTGTCCTGGCCCGGGAAGACAGAGGGAAAAAGAGCTGTCTTCATGGCCTTCACCATCACAGAGCAGGACGCACCCCGGCCACGACAGACAGCTTAACTCCAAAGGATCTGGTGTCTGATCCCACAGTGTCAAGATCAAGGGTCTAGAGCTCACCCCCAGGGAGAAGCCCACCCAGCCAGGTGCGGCGATCAGAGTCGGACGGCTTGTACAGCCAGTGACAAAGCAATCTGGCTGGGCTCCCAAGACGGTAGACTGGACGCTGGGAGTGAACGGTGTCTCGATGACAGACACACAGACATGCCACCTAGTGTCACTTTGCCTGTGCTATCAGACTGACCCTGAGACCACCTCTTCCACTGGCAGAGCCCCCTGGGGGAATGGTGAGACCCTCTGAAAGCCAGACCCAAGGGCTCGACTCCACCCACTAAACCCACGTGGGATAAGCAACTCCGGAAAGGGACAAAATCAGTGCGTATCAAGGCGGGCAGGGTGCCTTTCACCCAGCTGCTTTCCATGGTGTGGATCCCATCTCGGTCCTTCCCAAACAGCCCTACACACCTCAATTATTGTAAAGACAAACACATCCTCTAACCACCCATCAATCCTCTCTGGTGGAGAAGAGAAACGTTTTCCTCCTGGTGACACAATGACAAAACTTGGCTGCAGAATGCTTACACACTCCCACTGACAGGGACCTCACTACTTCAAAGGGCAGTTCGCTCACTGCCGAGCTCTTCTGGTTGTTAGGAAACCAAAGTGGGACCCACGCTGCTCCTCACACCTGCTGTGTGTAACCACACAGAAGTCATCCCACCTTGTGTCAGTCCCCCACACCATTTGAAGGGAGTTGTCTATCGCCCTTCACCTAAGAGCTCTCTTTTCCACACCAGCGCACATGAAGAGAACTGAGAACATCTCAATGATTTCAGGGAAAATGTCATGCACCAAGAATGGACTGAAAGGTGCTCAATGCAGAACGGAAGGAGCCGCCTGCATTTTCAAGTGTCCTATTACATTAGCCCGAGGGTCTCATAAAATGCCTTTGTAGTTACTAAAAAGAAGTCCATAATACCAAAAGTGCATATTACCTATAATACTTAGGGCAAGAAGCACAGAAAATTTTAATTTACAAGGCAATCTGTTAGAACAACAAAGAGAAGCCCAACAGGACCTTCCCCCTGCAGAATAATCATTACTGAAATTCTAATGCTCAAGTCTAGACAAAGAACAGTGAACGAAGGGCTTCCTCACACCCTGCCCATGGAGCGCCGCTTCTGAAGTCTCTTACAGCAATCATGTGCATCCCCAAAATGTGCCCGTGCGTGTGACGCTTGCTGTTGTCACAGCAGAGTGTTCTATCCCGGAGTCTTACTCTTTTTTCTGGTAGGGAGTCTCCTGGGCAGACGGGACGAGCTCTAACCTAACTAGACGCGGTTTGAGGCTGCCCCAGTGGAGATTACAATGACACGCAATCAAAAGTCAAAAGTTGATTGCGTTATCTCCAAAAGACACTGTTTAAAACAAAACAAAACCCAAATAATATTTGCACACTCAAAACTTCTACCCGGTGTAGCAATGGGAGAAAATGAGATCCTAACTTGCAGTTACACATGCAGTATCAATAATGTGAGGACAATGAACTATTTTAGAAAAATTCTGGCATAGGTCTGTGCCACAGTATGGAAACTCAGTCACAGAATTACAAAGACACGAGAAAAAGTTATCTGTTTCCTGTGAGCTACTCAGCCAGGTCTAAGGTGCATCAGACCTTGTTTTGGATGGTAGCCAACTTCTACTGAATGCTTACTTACTGTGGCCAGACAGGGCTACAAAGATGAACTTCTATGAGACCCCGAGAAAAGCATCATTCCCATTTTACAGATGAGGAAACAGCCAAATTGTTAAAAGCATCTACGTGATAGGTAAAATGGACTTGGGATTTGAACCCGACATGACTGATTCCAGAAGCTTCTGCTTCTTAATCCCAACATGGGAAAATAATCTGTCAATTGAAAACCTGCTGGCAGGGCCTGATCAGACAGCCTCACCCAAGGACTGCAGTGGGGAAAGACAGAGGCTGCTTTAACTAAGAAACAGGAGACTTATTAATCCAGGCTGTCAGCCCACCCACTCCGGTTCTGCTCAGCACCACGGACCCACTTACCTGCGGAGCGTGGGAGAGGCCACATCTGGGTATTTGGCCCCTGGCTGCAGAGTGGCCTGAGCTGAGCCGGACACGGGCTGGGCTGCTGGGTTCACTTTCACCGAGTTACAGGAGGCGACGCTCTCGTTGTCTGACGAGATGCCTTTCTCCTTGTCCGTCTGGTTGACGAGGCCGGGCAGAGAGCTGCCGAGGGCCGTCTTGGAGGGCTCCCTCAGCCTGGGCACGGGCAGGCCTGCCGACTTGCTGCTGATGTTGGAATCGATGCTGCTGGTACTAGATCGGTTCCCGGCCCCGTTGCGGCTGTTGGATTTACTGGGCCTGGGCAGGCTCCGGTACTGCAGGTTTGTCCGGGAGCTGAGGGACAGATACCCGTCGTCCTGATTCGGGGCCCCATCCATGCTCGCCTTCCGGCCAGCAGATCGACCCACCAGCGCGGAAGACTTGGGGATTTTGCCCAGCGTGGCTGACCTGCTGGTGACAGTGGCCCCGCTGGCTGTGATCACGGCCAGCCCAGCGGCTGAGCCGCTCTGCTTCTTGAACCCAAAGCTGTTGGCGTTGGCGGTGGGCGTCCTGGAGCTGCTGGCAAGGGGCTTTTTGGATTCATCGCCGCTGCTGCGACCGGCGTCTGATGGGGAGCGCTTCACCTGCGAGGCTTTGGGCGAGAGTCTTCCTTTCTCAGACACCTTTGCGTCGTCCGTTTTCCCTACAAGGGAAGTCACCGAGGTCAGCCTGCAAACCAAGACCCCGCCTCCTCCAGCCTTCTGGGTAAGATGCTCCCCCCTTCTTTTGAAGACCTCACTTTCCCCTCCAGGAACGCGGTGCCTTTGCAAGGCAGAGGGAAGAGCTTTTAATAAAGATAATCTCATCTACTGCTGTCACGGTGAGCCTTTCGGGAGATGTCACTGATTTTATGCATTTGCAGAGCAGTCGAAATTTTCCAGGATAAGGCAAAGCCTGCGGGGTGGGGAGGACCCTGCCTTTTCCAGACCCTTCATGCACTGTCCATTAAAAGGCCACTTCTGGGGGGGACGCCTGCCTCATGTGAACCCATTCCCCTCGATTGTGGGCACCGTGAGCTCAACACATCAACAGCTTATAAAGTAACACCACTGAATAGCTTGCGCCAAGTGCACTAGTTCCTAGCTAGCATAGACTTCAGCCAATTCAATATGCAGGGGTAGCTGAACTCTCTCTTAAGAGTGCGAGAGGCTCACACATGTCTGTACTTCCACTTAGGAAAAGGGAGGGAGGTGAAGCTGGATGCAAGTCCATGGTCGGCAGGGTACAGACCCTAGGAAGACACCTACGGCATCAAGCCCCTGCTAGGATGACCATGGCTCTGGGAGGCAGGTTGACAACTGCAGGTGCGAGGCGGCGCTGGCCTGTCACTCACCTGTGCCTGGGGTCTTCAGCGTGCCCGCTGGGGCAGCCGGCTTCGTCCTCGGCATGGTGATGCCCACCTGTGCGCTCATGCCCCTCCGCCACGAGCCCGTCTGCGAGATGACGGGATTCTTCTTGCCCGACGTGCTCTTGTCAGACTCGTCGGACACGTCGGAAGGATTGCGCCTCCACTTGGAAGCTGGCTCCATCTTTATGCCGCTGTCTGACCCTCCGTCTGATTTCTTGACGTCATCACCTGACCACAGCGAGTTCCTCTCCACCTGGGAGTGCTTCTCTGCATCCGTCTGCGAAGAAAGACGCCTGGAGTTAGTCCTGCCCAAACCCCAGCCTAAGAAGCCCCTCTCGCCGCAGGCACACAAGTCAATGCCCCAGAGCAGTTAAGGGGTAAAGAAAGACAACCACGTCAAAAATGTTGGGGCTCTCGTGCTCTGATTATCTTACTGGATAGCCTGGGCTTTTCTTGGCATGAAAAGTGAAGAAACATAAGTGTCGTCTTAGAAGGGAGTGAGGGAGGAGCAGAAAGGGTCCCATGGAGAAAGAGGAGGCGCGGCAGGGCCGGTGGGGACGTGTGGGAGCGAGCCACCCATCCTCTGTCACTTGCAGCCAAGCCTCCTCCAACTCCAGCGGCCGATCTCCGACCCGCATCCAGCCTCCGCGCCTGTTTCCCTTTGTTCTGCCGTCTTCCTATCACTCTGCTGGCAGCACGGTCCTTGGATCCAGCTCAGCGCCACAGTCTAACACACCGAGGGAGCGAGGGAGCGAGGGGGGCCGCTAGTTCCACGTGAATCGGGAGAAGCGCGAGCTGGGAGGGAACGGGTCCTCCAGCCGCACTTCCCCTCCCCAGTACTAAAAGCCAGCGGAGCCTGCTCCCACCCCAGCCGGCTTCATTGATATGCCACTGCTTGGCTGTGATTCTGTTCAGACACGGATCTAATAAGCCAGCTTTCTTTAGAAGAGCCCTGACCCGCTGGCCACAGAACCCAGGAGGGGGCAGAAGTGTGACGTTAATGACGGGCTGCACTAAAAGGTGTAGAGAGCACTGGAGGCCTCCCCGGGGTCTGTGATTGGTCCCTGCGTGCCAGAAAGGACAAAAACAACACAGCCAGCAGGGAGGGAGGTCAGGGTGCTTACCCTGGGACACAAGTCCTGCAGCTACCAGGCCTGGTTGCCATGAGCAGACAACACCAGCAAGGAGGGGATTAAAATGAACACCTGGCTTGTCACCCAAGTAGCACAAGAGCCTGCGCCCACGAGATGCAGCGGCTGCACAGAGGCAGGCAGCCCGAGGGTAACGCCTTTCTCTCTCTTCCCAACCCTTCCTCCCTGGTGGATTCCACTCATCCATCGCAGCCACCTCCAGGTGCCCTGGTTTGGTCACTACAGGAGCACTCGCGCATCCCAGCCAGGGACACGAGGAGGACAAGACCAGGCTCCCTGATCACGGAGCTCCCCGTTCAGCTGTGGCCGGAGGAACCAGCGAGGGGAGTGCCCATGCGTCCGGACACAGAGCAGCAGCAGAATCAAGGCCCGTGAGCAAGTGAGTCAGCAGTGAGCACAGCCTCTCAGGCTACGGGGCACTGAAGCGCTTGTCCTCATCTCTCAGGGAGGGTAAGGAAGACTGTCTCCTAAATCACACAGATGAGCAGCAACTGAAGCTACCCGCCCCTACCCAGTGCTTCCTTCCTCCAAACACCTGCAGTGTGGTCATTCAACCAGACCTCACTCAATGTCCATGTTGGCCAGGCACCATGGAAGCCCTGGGGGACCTGTGGATAAGACAGATTCCCACCCCTCTTGGAGTTTACGATCCTGGGAAAAAGGCAGGGGTACATACACAAACACAAGTCAGTGTGCAACTGTGGGTGATGAATGTTATTATAAGGCAAGGGACAAGGAGTTTGAGAGAAATACAGACACAGACCTAACTTAGGTGGCTGGGGCAGGGATGGTGCTCAGACAAGGCCTTTTGGATGAAGTGCTATGAAGACTGAGAATAAACTTATTAAGAGAAGAGTTTAAGGAACGACATGCCAGGCAGAGGAACTCATGTGCAAAGGCCCTGAGGCAGGAGACAGCTTGGCATTGGAATCAGTTACTCAACAAGTATTTAGTGGGTGTCCCCATGTGCCAGGCAAGCTCATTCACATTGGGGAAAACACAGGAGCAAGTACGAATCACTGACCTTGTGGCACTTATGTACAAGTGCATTCTAACATCTTCCTGGCCTTTTGGCTGAGATCAAGTGCACTAATATATTCTAATATGGCCCAAAGGGTACTGAAAAGTCAGTGCATCGGGGCCGGCGCTGTGGCGCAAGTAGGTTAATCCTCCAGCTGCAATGCCAGCATCCCATCTGGGTGCCGGTTCTAGTCCCGGCTGCTCCACTTCCAGTTTAGCTCTCTGCTATGGCCTGGGAAAGCAGTGGAAGATGGCCCAAGTCCTTGGGCCCCTGCACCCACATGGGAGACCTGGAGGAGGCTCCTGGCTCCTGGCTTCAGATCGGTGAAGCTCCGGCCATTGTGGCCATCTGGGGAGTGAACCAATGGAAGAAAGACCTTTCTCTTTGTCTCTCCCTCTCACTGTCTGTAATTCTAACTCTCAAGTAAAATAAATAAAATCTTAAAGAAAAAAAAAGTCAGTGCATGCCACATCCTAGGTTACTGTATGCTTGATTCTTTACAGTCCCCCCCGCCGACCCCCCGACACACACAAAAGCTGCACCAGTGCTGCTGGTGGTGGCAGCAGGAAGGACTAAAGTCTACTGGGCTCTTGCTATGCGCTAGGCACTAAGCCTCCCATGAGGCCTGTATTCTAATCCTCATGAAAACCAATGAGGAAGTCGCGGTTAACATTCTCAACTGTTGCAGGCAAAACCTGAGGCACAGAGTGGAAAAGGAGGCTGCCCAGGCTCACACAGCAAGGAAGCAGAGATGTGGGGACTCGGGGAGCGAAATCGTAGAGTCCACACTCGAACCACTACACCACCCACCTTGTCTCCCTTGATGGATACGCTCAAGGGTAGGAGACATTTCTGCATATCCAGCAGTGCCTAAGACAACACCCACACCCACGAGATTCTCTTCTCAGACTGGCTGGCTGCTGCTCTCCAAACCTCCCCCTAGCTCCTGCCCAGTCTCCGAGAGGAACCCTAGCCTAGCATCCTGATTCTGCGGATGGCAGAGACAGTGCTCAAGTCCCAGGCCCGAGACGGTGGTCTGACTCTCTTCCCCCTGGGACAAACGATTAACCAATCAGTCCAGGGCGCTATCTTCTCTGCTGGGCATGTGTCCTGGGCCACCTGCCGGCTCGGAGTTCACATTCCCTGAGCAAAACCTTTGGAGCCCTGTGCCAGGTCGCGTGGTGACGCCCCTCGGGATTAAAAACCAGAGAACCCTAGCCTCTCCAGCAGGAGGGCCAGCGGGACATCCACATGGGGCGTTCCAAGGGCTCGACCCTCCTCCACCTCGGCCTCTCCATGCCTAGGCCAGCTGCTCCCCTCTCGACAGCCCCTCTGCTCTGAAGGATGTTCTTACTGCACCTGCCTGGACCTGGACAGGAAGGCGGAGAAATAAGCCACACGTAAGGGCGCTCCGAGGGGAGGCGAGGAGTGGGAGACCTGCCTGATGTGGAAGAAGAAGGCGACTCTGCACTGGGACAGGCAGGAGCTCAGAGCCTGGGCACTTCCACTTGTGTGCTGTGGGTGGCCCTGGATAAAGGTTCTTCACCTCCCTGAGAGTGTTACCTCGCAAATAAAACAGGAATGCTAACAACTGTCTCTCAGTGAGTGGCTGAGGATTCACTGAGCGGGCTATACGTGGAGAGACTCGGTCCAGAGCAGCCGCACTCATTACCAGCTGTCCCCCTTGGAGCGTCCCCAGCACTCTGATGTCCCTCTCAACTGCTGAGCCCACTTCTGCCCTGCCAGAGGGTGAACAGGGACTGCCCTTTCCTGCTACTGCATCACACACTTCTAGAAATCAGCGAGAGCTCCCCTTCGTGTCCATGGCTCCTGCAGATCTGCAGTAGAACTGGGAGAAGTTTGCACCCGGGAAATAACAGAAGTAATTAACTGGCATCAATATCATCTCCTGCTGCTTCCCTGGACGGGCCCTGAGCCCTGCGCTGCATGTGTTCTTAGCTTGCCTTAGCCTCTGAGGCTCTGTTATTATTCACATCAGGAAAATGCAGGTTGAAGGAGGAAGACTAACTGCCCAACGCCAGCAGCAGCACCTCCTGGCGGCTCGGCAGAAGGGACCCCCTCCTTGTCCCTGGGCAAACTGCTCCCCGCAATCACACTACAATCCTAGACCTGAGGGACCTAGGCTCACTTGAGACCATGTTTTCCTTGAGTAGCAAATACTGAACAGACATGCAATTGTCATTTTTCCCTCGCGTGTGTCCATGTGTGCATGCCTGTGTTTAAACATCACAGGCACACTGCAAACGAGAGACATGCTTCTTTGCACTTCAGCATCTTGAGTGGTGCCTTCCACAGAACCTAGGGGGACCACGGAAAGGTCAAGGACACAGATGACGTGGGGGACAGATGTGTGTTTGTCAGAGCCCTCTGCCGGCAGCACACTGGCCCCAGGATAAAACACTGAGAAATACAAGATGAATTGCTTTGAAACTACAGAATCCAGGACAAAAGTAGTCAACTTGTAGTGACTGGCGTGCTGGGGGGGAGGGGGCGGGGGGAGGCAGACAGGCAGGTGATCCAGAGGACAGGGGAGGGCAGAGGGAGGGAGGAGGTGGCCCCAGGGCAGCCGTCGAGGCTGGGCGCTGTGAGCGGCACGTTCGGAGCAAGTGCCGCATGGCTCTCTCGTGATAACAATCCCCCTCACCCCGTCGCACGGGCCTGGGTACCATCATTAACGGATGAGGAGGCACAGAGACCCAAGAGGCTGATTAGCTGATCCAGCCACAGCAGAGTGAGGAGCTCCACTCAAGGCCAGCTGCCTCCTCCAACATCCACACCTGCCCCCGATGCCACCATCTGGAGCTGCCCCTCAGAATTCACCAGCTCCCCTGGAGCAGGTCGGTGCAGAGGCTGCGGGGCCTCGAGCCTGGGGACTCCCTGCCCAGCGCATAGGGGGACAGTGAGTGCAGAGGGCGGGTGCTGGGCAGCCAGCCACGTGTGCCCTGTCCAGGGTGCACTCAGTGCTCTCCATGCCCCTGAGGCAGCAGTGTCCCTCCTGGGCAAAGGGACCCTCCATCGCCAGCCAGAGCTCCTCCATCAACATCGTCCCCTCCTCTCTGAACTGGCAACTGTGCTGCTCCAGACAGTAACTCCTCTGTTTCGTACATGGAACACCCACGCGGGCCACCTGTCCTCAACTCACTTTCCTGACGGATGCACTGGACTGCTTCTTCCTGCCCCCACCCCCCGTGCCCACGTCTTGCGTGGCACAGGGGGAACCCGCCTGTGACAAGCATCTGAGCTACAGCACAGGAGGAGCGGCTCATGGGAAGGGGGCAACACACACCTCCCAGCAACCTGATGCTGCTCAGAGAGGAGTAATGGCCCTTAGCATTCCTTGGCCAGGGTGATACAGAGAAGAGGGCAGAGGCTACGAATTACACGGACTTAAATATTTTGAGATGGTCCCTGGATAGGAACAAAGGAACCGTCACCAAAAGTCCATTTAAAGAAACCACTGCATTAGGAACCTTGGTGACTACTGGTACAAGGGTGCATTTATCTTACTCAAAGACCTTTTTTGAATATTTTAAACTCAAGCAGTTATTTAGGAGAAAACTATCCAAGAACAGTGAACTCTCTCCATCCTTTGACATAACATCTCGAGTAGAACATGCACTTGTGCAGTATCCTGGAACCTCTTCTGATGAGGACAGCCAAGGGATGTTTAGAGAAAGGGCACCTTGGCATCAACCAAATTCAACTTATAAGACAGGAAATCATTTGTAAATTGCAGTCAACTCCAGCTTTTGTGGAGAAGACAAAAGACAAGGTGCTGTTGTTTTAACCAGGCTAACCCGCACCTTTTAGGTAAGCCTACTCCTCCTACGCTCTGGGAAAACAAGGGAAACCTCCCCGATTCACTGCAGCACCTCTAACAGGCTCTCTCTGCAGCACCTCTAACAGGCTGTTGCCTGAATACCCTTGCTTCCCCACCTTTGGGTCTAAGAACTGTCTGGAAGCTTGGTCATTGTCCTTTCCCTGGATATAGAATGAAGGACTGTTGATACGGTGGCATTTGGCAGACGGTTGGGGCAGGGACATAGGCTAGTGTGGTCATTTTTAACTTGTGCCTAATCAGTGATTAAACCAAGGCCAATCTGGGGCAGTGTGGCTTAGGTTTTCTTTTTATTATTATTATTTTTATTAATTTATTTTATTTATTTGAGAGACACAGGGAGACAGACACAGAAAGCAATCTTCCATCAACTGGTTCTCTCTCCAAATGCCTACAAAAGCTGAGGCTGAGCCAGGCAGAAGCCAAGAGCCAGGAATTCAATCCAGGTGTCTCCCATGGGTGGCAAGGACCTAGGTACTTTGACGTGAGATGGCATGTTAACCACTATACCGAACATCCTTCTTGTTGAGTTAAATATTAACATACGTGGAGCTGGCGCTGTGGCACAGCGGGTGAAGTCGCCACCTGCAGTGCCAGCATCCCATGGTTCGAGTCCTGGATGCTCCACTTCTGATCCAGCTCTCTGCTATGGCCTGAGAAAGCAGTAGAAGATGGCCCAAGTCCTTGGGTCCCTGCACCTGAGTGGGAGACCTGGTTAACTCCTGACTGCTGGCTTCAGATCGGCCCAGCTCTGGCCGTTGCAGCCATTTGAGGAGTGAACCAGTGGATGGAAGACCTCTCTCTCTCTCTGTCTCTGCCTTTCTGTAACTCTGTCTTTTAAATAAATAAATAAATCTTTAAAAAAAATTTAACATACGTTACCTACAACTCAGATCAGAATAAAACATTGACAGCACATCCCAAAATCTTTGTGCCCCCTCCCAGTCACTTGGGTAAATTTTTCCTAAACCACCAGTACAACGTATCCTCACTGCTGAATGTAAATAGAAATTCAGCTAAAATGAGAATCCAAGAAGTAACAGACAATTCCAGGGGTAGCACCTGATACATTTAAGCGGCAGTCAACACGTACATTCCTGTGGGACAGCATTACTCTCACACTCTGACACATGCATTCTTTAGCCCCATCCTCAAAGAAGAGATATCTTTGCCAGCAGGGAGATTTCCAGAACAGCTCCTATCTGTACAGGGTGGAAACCAGTTGAGAAAGAAAGAGGAGACATAAGGAAGAAAAGAAGAGGGGGCAGTGTTGGTTCCGCCCTTTCCAGCGTCCCTTGGGGAGACTGTTGGGATCAGACTCAAGACAGGGGCTATCACTGGTGGGTGGGACCAGTCTTGGCTGACCAGTCCTTACAATTCGGGAGAAGCCATGAGCACCACACCTCACTAGTAAAACAGGCTTATAGGAATCACCCCTGCTGACCATGAAGGCACACTGAGGGCAAACCCAGGAACTCTGAGATGGCAGGTGGGTGTCTCAAGTGCTATCTTTTTTTTTTTTTTTTTTAGATGTATTTATTTAGTTGAAAGGCAGAGTGGTAGAGAGGCAAAGGCAGAGGCAGAGAGAGAGGTCTTCCATCTTCTGGTTGACTCCCCAAATGGTCACAATGGCCGGAGCTGCACTACTCCGAAGCTGGGAGCCAAGAGCTTCATCTGGATCTCCCACATCGGGGGCAGAGGCCCAAGCACTGGCCCATCTTCTACTGCTTTCCCAGGCCATCGCAGAGAGCTGGATCAGAAGTGGAGCAGCCAGGACTCAAACTGGCGCTCACTTGGGATGCCGGCACTGCAGGTAGGAGCTTTACCTGCTGCGCCACAGTGCCGGCCCCTCAAGTGGTATCTTAATCACTGCATTTTAAAGAGAGCAGCTGGGGCATATGAGACCATGAGTGATCTGTCTAAAGGGGATGGACATCTGCTAATTGTTGTCGGGCACAGCAATATGTTCTTATTTTCCAAGAGAAACTAGAAACACATTTTCATGTGAAATAAGACAGTTTTTCAAATTCAACATGGGATCTGGTTTAGAAGAAGAGTAACACAGTGGGCTACATAATTCACATTGGCAGGGGGCAGGACCCACAGATGGACAGTTCCCAGCCTCAGGGCAGGACATGCTGGGTTTCTGTCTGAGATTATCAGTCTCTGTTCTGTGCAATCAGCATACACCCCTGGACAGTAGTGGCTCACTGCCAAGGGGACACACTTTCCAGGCTAAAAACCACATTCTTAGTACTCTTCTGTTTGCTTTTTAAATGACATATGGGAGCCAGCATTGTGGTGTAGTGGGTAAAACCACCGCCTGTGACACCAGCATCCCATATGGTGCTGGTTTGAGTCTCAGCTGCTCCACTTCCGGTCCAGCTCCCTGCTAATGCTCCTGGGAAAGCAGTGGGGGATGGCCCATCTGTCTTGGGCCCCTGCCATCCATGTGGGAGAACCCGAAGGCGCTCCTGGCTCTGGGCTTCAGATCAGCCCAGCTCTTGCTGTTGCAGCTATGTGGGAAGTGAACCAGCAGATGGAATCTCTCTCTCTGTGTAACTCTGCCTTTCAAATAAACAAACAAGTCTTTAAATGAGATATGAATTAGAGGTCCTGGGAAAAGATGTCACCTGCCACGGCCACAAGAGCGAGGCTCCCTATGCTGACTTCCTTTCCTTGCAGGTGGAGGCCAGAGTCAACGAGATGAGAGCACGGGCAGCCACAGGTTGAGCCTCATCTCCTCTCCCTGGGATTCTGCCCACTCCAAACAGTCCTCTCACCCTACAAGGCCAGCGCCCCCTGCTGGTGGAGGCCCCGTGTATCTTACCTGCACGTCCAGGTTTCTGCGAGAGGAGGCGGGCGTGTTGGCGTAGGAGCTGATGGAGGAGCTGGTGTTGATGTCATCGGTGCTGAGGTTGTCTATGGTGTCGCTGATGCCGCTGCTCACGGAGCTGCTGTCATCCCAGCTGCCAAGACAAACACATCCTGAGTGTCAGCTCCTCAGCTCGCACTGACCACATGCACCATCCCAGAAGGACCCAGATGACAGCATAAAGCCCTAGACAACGCTTTTTGCCTCTTCAGTGGTTCATCTCCAAGAGCGACATCCATCTGTGCTGTCTTGAATGACTGCTACACACCTTCCCCCATAGTGCGGATGCTTCCACGGAGAAAGGTGGCTGCACACACCACACCCTATGCCAACTTCAGCTTCACCTGGGGAACTTTATAAAACCCAGTTGCTCCTCCCCAGGCCTAGTAGCAGGAGTTAGGGGACTGGAGTGGAAAGGGTACAGGCAAGGATTCAACATCAGCCCCTCCCTAGGGGTCGGAGTGGGCAGAAGAGCTGCTGGTTGAGTTCTCTGACTCCGGAGAAAGAGAACTCTGACTCCACGTGTAAAACCAAGCTTCACTGCCCTGCCCTCACACCAACTGAGCCCTTCCCCCTGCTGCTCAAACCAACTCTCCTAGCAACCCCCCTCCTTTCCAGCTCCTGAACTCCCAACACACCACTGCATTTAACCCAGCACCTGGTCCTATCACCTGTACAAGGACACTTCACAAAGTCTGTGGAAAATACTATTAAGAGAGACAGGGACAGTGGGCATTGTGGCGCAACAGGTTAATCAGTTGTGGCTTGGGACACCCACGTCCCATATCAGTGCCTGTTCAAGTCCTGGCTACTCTGCTGCTGATTCGGCTTCCTCTAATGTGCCTGGGAGGCAGTGGATCATGGACCAGGTACTTGGGTTCTTGCCACCCACAGAGGAGATCAGGCTTCAGCCTGTTCCAGCTTCAGCTGTCGTGGGCATTTGGGGAATCCACTTGCGAATGAAAGATCTGTCTTCCAAATAAATAAAATAATTAAATCTTTAAAAGGTTTATTTTGATGAAAAAGTTTGAAATCTACAAATAGCTTTTTTTTTTCCCAGAACAAACATTTTCTGCACACATCTTGAAGAGCCTTCATACTTGCAAAATATATCCAGATGGGCACAGTCTGCTGTCCCACAGCTCAGGGTGTTGTCCTCTCTGGCTGGGTTACTGCAAATAGAGTAGAGCTCTCTGCATTCCACTCTGCTTCTGAACAATCCGTTCTCCCCACGGCAGCTGGAATGATCTTTCTGCAATGTGAATCATGTTCTCTCCTTCCACTGCTACAGACCCTCAGGTAACTTCTCAGCTACAAAAACCAGACTCCCTTCACTGGTCCCTGCTACCCTCTGATCTGGCCTCCTTCTCTGGTCCTGTCTTCTACCTGCCTCTCCATTATGGGCTGGGGCTTGGGTCCCATGGGCTTCTGTTCCTTCCAGGCCAAGACTGTTCCCATCTTCACGGCTTTGCATTGGATGTCCCTGTCCCTCGATACTTGTCCTGCTTCCTTGTCTTTTAGACCTCAGAAAGGCCACCCCTCATCACTACCCACCAACATGCATTACGCTCTATTACACCATGTGGTTGAAGGGTGACATGTACACACTTGCTGAATGAAACTCACAGGACTAAACAGTCTATAAAGTAAGCTTCTAAACATCACTGTGACAAGTGCAATGCAATCAATGCCACCATTTTTCTATTGCACAGGTGGAAAAATGGAAGCTAAGAAAGGTGAGATGCCTGGCACAAGGCCAGACAGCTCCTGAGAAGTGGAGTGGATGCAGATCCAGCCATTCTGACTCCAGGGTCATCATCTCTCTTTACTGTGATGCTACAGAGTTTTCCATTTTGTCGGTGTTCGGGACATATCAGATAGGACAAGGGCCACTTGCCCAGGAGAAAGTCAAGGCTGGGGAGGTGGCAGGCCCAGGTTCAATGTCACATAGCCAGGAGCAGCAGATCTGACACCAGAGCCCTGACTTAATCACATTACCCCACCAGCCCGCCTTCCACCCTGTGTCTTGCTGAAAGCCCTACAAAAAGACAGCGTGAAGCCTGAGAAATGCTGGGAGCCGAGATTTCAAAAGCCACGATAACTCCCCCTTCCCTGCACACACAAATAGCCCCAAAGAGGCTCCAGTGGTTGCAGCAGCTTGTAAGACACCTGTTGTACATGCTGAGCTCTGTTGATCAGGCAGGAAGACAAAGGGTTACCGAAAACTTGTTCTCATCACCTCTCCCTTCAGCACTCCCTTGTACCTTCCACAAGCCCACCTGCAGACATGAAGGCCGTCTCCAAATCCTTCAGCACCATCAAACCATCCCCTACACAGTCCCACACATCTGCATTCACTTTTAGACACCTTTACAGCTTTCCAGTTATTCTCTGGGTGGAGGTCTGTCCAACCTTCCAAATATATGCAAGGGCCTGCCTATGGTCACAACTCAATGCTCACCATGGATCAGGCATGGGGCCACACACCACACACTTATTATTATGTAAGTCTCCAACCCTCCTATCATACCTCAAAGTAGGCAATATCCTGTCCATCGGACCAACGGATCAAAAATAAGTTCCCCCACCCCCGTGGTTCGGTTAGTTTTGGAACTGGCTGCACAACTTCACAACACAGGCTGTTTCTACTTCATACTAAGCTGCCTGTCAAAACCAGAGGCCGTTCCCTGAGCAACCATGCCACGTGCCAGCTATTCAACAGTCATACGTTCTCTCACACTCACTCACTCACTCACTCCCATGGGTGGCTGCTATCTGTGTTTCACAGTGTAGACGCTGGGCGATGCTGCTACAATGCCAGGCCTGTTGTGTGGGCCACGGCCCCTCCGTCTCAGAGACACTGAGTGTGCTTACTAAACACTTCCATGTGTGGAGGACAGGGCAGGTTTCTGACACAAACTAGCCACCAGGAGTGCATCCTGAGCCCAGGTCCCCTGCCCTACCTATTCCCCGACAGGTCACAACGTCTGCGCCTCAGTTTCACCAAGGCCGTGAACCACACCTGGGGCTCTGCTGGAGAAGGCATAGATCATGGATGAAAAGGACTCAGATTTGCCGTCATGATCACAAGGAAATCCCAGGGCTCTTTTATTGCATGTACCCTTTGGGGTTAGCATTGCAACCTATGAGAAATTTCTTATATTGTGATGAAGAAGAAAAGGATGGTGGGAGAGTAGCATGGCTGGCAGGGAGCAAGAAGGTGAGTGAATGACAGATGCCCATGAATCCAAGACCCAGATTTTGTGCTTTGAAATTGTACCCATTCTTTGCCTGTGGCCTTTCAGCACCAAGCTGAAAGGGGCACGTGGCCAGTCCACTGAGACATCAAATAACTTAGTTCCAACTTGTCCTCTTCCCAAAATCCAGGGTAAAGATGATCATGAGCTGCCAATCAGGGAGCCCCAAGATGGGTCCTAAAGAAAAGTAGCTCCCCATGATGCTCTGTGCTAACAGCGCTGGCAGACCAGGCCGTGTGGGATAAGCTGCCTCTCCTGGCCTCCACTAGAAATCCACAGTGCACATCAACACCTTAGCAATGCTGTAGCCCAGGAATGACCTCCTTAACTTTGCCTAAAATCACACTCCCCACACTCACATGACGACCCAGGAGATGCAGCAAAGAATGAAACACGCATGAAAAATGCAAGGGAAGCCTAAAGCTGGGAGTGACTACTCCATTCTCATCCAAGAAGGAAGCTCACCCAGAGGATGGAAGAGCCCTTGGGACATGGCTCCAGTTCCTGGACTCAGGCATTCCTTGATGCCAGCAGCAGCTGGGGGACACCCAGCCGGGAGAAGTAATACTTTCCCTTCTCTTTGCTCCCGTTTTGTTGTTTGGTGCACTGGTGCCCACCAAGGGGAAAGTGCCATTTGTCTGTAAAATGACTCCAGACACGCAGCTGCAGGTCAGACGGGAACTACGTGGGAAGCAGGCAGAACACACTGGAGCAGCAAGGACATTAGTTGAAGCCAGTCGAGTGGTAAAGGAAATGAGGTACAACCTGGGATGCGGTACAAAAGTCCATAGACCTGAGCCAGGTCATAAATGTCGAAAGAGGTTCCAATAGGTGATTAAGGTGGAAACTTGAAAGAAACCAGGAAAATTTATGTTTACTGTGGTGAAATGAAATTCCAGAGGAGGGGCTCAGGACCCCAGGGGCGCAGCAGAAGGAGCCTGCAGTGCAGTCATCGACTCTGGACCCATCATTAGGGAACACGCTTGGATGATCTCTGGGTGCTGATCTTGGATCTGACTCAGAAAAACTGCGCCTAGCCGAAATGATATGCCTGCTACCTTCAGTTGAGAGTAGCTAATTTTAAAATGTGAGAAAGGTTGAAAAAGGTGAGGGGCCGGTGCTGTGGTGCAACAGGGTAACGCCCTGGCCTGAAGCGCCGACCTCCCTTAAGGGCATCGGTTCGAGACCTGGCTGCTCCACTTCCCATCCAGCTCTCAGGTATAGCCTGGGAAAGCAGTAGAAGATGGCCCAAGTCCTTGGGCCCCTGCACCCGCATGGGAGACCCAGAAGAAGCTCCTGGCTTTGGATCAGTGCAGCTCCGGCTGTTGCGGCCAACTGGGGTGTGAAACATCGATGGAAGACCTCTGTCTCTCTTTTCTCTCTCTCTCTCTCTCTCTCTGTGTAACTCTTTCAAATAAATAAATCTTAAAAAAAAAAAGGTGAGCAATAATGAAGTGAATCATGACGTAAATACTTGATATTAAAGCTATGTGATACTATGGAGTAACACTCAAGTGAAAGAAAAATGAAATCCTGTCTTTTGCAACAAAATGGATACAACTGGAAACCATTATACTTACTGCAATAAGCCAGTACCAAAAAGACAAATACTATATGTTTTCCCTGATTTGGGATAACTAATAGAATACCTAAAATGTAACATATTGGAGTGAAATGAACATTTTGAAATTCAATGATTGTTTACAGCCCTTGTTGCTACTGTTGAGGAACAGTGGTTTTTTTCTTCATACTACTTGTTGAACTCTTTACTTAGTATATGGTTAACCTTATGAGTACTCAGTGAACTGAAAATAGCTCTTTGTAAAAATTAAGAGTA